GCATCGACTTAAGGCGCGCGTCTGGGACGTTGGGAACCCGGACATTCCGAGCTATCTTTTTCGCAGCGGCTTGCAGCGTTATCATTAGCCCAGCCCTTATTCATCAACAGACCGACACCCTTATGCGCTGCGCGCCATCTATGAATTGAACCCGTCCGCAGCACCCAAAAATGGCCGACTTATCGCACACCCGAACGAACGACTCGATGATTAAGAACGCCGCGCATCTTTCGGAAGACGTCCCACCCGAAGACGACGAAGTAAGCGGGTCCTCTAACATGAGAATAGTCGACTTTGGAAGAGATGGTACCGCCGATCCCGAGAATGGAGTGGTGGATGAAGCGCATCAACAACAGCCGCCAAGACGCAAAAAGAGGAGGTTCGGACTGGGGAAGAAGAAAGAGAGTTATAGCCATACGCATTACAAGGTTTACAAGAGACGGTGGCTTGGGCTGGGCCAGTTGGTGTTGTTGAACATTGTTGTTAGTTGGGATGTAAGTTGACACCTGCCACCGCTCGCCCGTTCCGTTGTTTGCTTCTGCGGGTGTTGCGAAGGGGTCTTCCGTTCCGGACTTTGGGCATGGCCCTGCGTTGTCGATCGATGGTGTTGGGACAACATTGCATGAACATCATTCTTGGGCACCAAGAAACTGCGAAGCATGAACATAGCTAACACACAACATAGTGGCTGACATTCGCCCCCATATCAACAACCTCATCGCAATACTTCAGAGTCCCGGAATCTTCCATCAACTGGCTGTCAACCGCCTTTCTCTTCTCCTTCGCCGCAACATGTCCATTAACGATTTACTTGCTCCACCGTGGCCCCAAACCATCCATCATCGCCGCATCCATCTTGCTGCTGATCGGCAACTGGATCCGGTATGCGGGTACCAAGACCAATATCTTCCCTGTAGTCATGGTGGGCCAGATCTTGACGGGACTGGCGCAGCCGTTTGTGCTCGCGGCGCCTACCCGGTATAGCGATATGTGGTTTACTGAGGGAGGAAGGATTGGAGCGACGGCGGTGGCGAGTCTAGCGAATCCCTTTGGAGCGGCGGTAAGTAATGACGCGGGAAGAAGAGAGGAAACGATGGCTGACAAGACATAGCTTGCATCTCTTATTAACCCGTTCTTGGGTGACGTACCGACTACGGTGTTGATAGTATCAATCATCGCAACGGTAGCATGCCTCCCGGTACGTCTTCCCACACCTCCAGTCAACCTTCACAACATATCTGACTAACACCACACAGTCCTTCTTCATCCCCGCGGCCCCACCAACACCCCCCTCGGCTTCCTCTGTCATCTCCAAAACGTCAATCATGACCTCCCTCAAGCACATGCTACGCACCCCGGCCTTCTACCTCGTCTTCTTCACCTTCAGCGTCTACACCGGCTTCTTCAACGCCTTCACTTCGCTGCTAAACCAGATCCTGTATCCATACGGCTACACCGAAGACGAAGCGGGTATCTGCGGCGCGGTGCTCATCGTTGTCGGACTGGTAGCCTGCGCCATCACTTCCCCCATCATAGACCGCACACACGCCTACCTGCTCGGCATCAAGATCCTCTGCCCCGTGCTATCCGCAGCTTACCTAGCGATGATATGGGCGCCGCAGACGAGAACGATTGTCGCGCCCTATGTGCTCGGTGCTGTCTTAGGCGCATGTTCATTTTCGCTGCTTCCGATCGCGCTGGAGTACCTAGTCGAGATCACTTTCCCAGCTAGTCCAGAAGTCTCCTCTACAATCTGCTGGGTCGGCGGACAAGTCTTCGGCGGCATCTTCATCGTCATCATGAACGAGCTCAAAGACGGAAGACCCGTGGATCTTGATGCTGTACAAGATGCGGGCAGGGATGAGGCTACGGGTGGGAATAGGCCGCCTGGACATATGCTCTGGGCGCTGGTCTTCCAGGCCGTGGTTTGTGCGGTGGTTCTGCCACTGCCGCTTTTGCTGGGTGTGAAGCGACTGGGCCTCGCTAGTAGAGAGGGAAGGCTGAAGAAGGATGTCGATGGCGATAGCGTTGTTGTCGCGGAAGAGGGGTCTGGCGAGGGCGTGCAGGGACACGAGCAATGACTCCTTGGGGACATGGATTCTGGTGACGATTACGAGGATGATGACGACGACGACTAGGGTTTCTTTATAGGGCTGGGTTTTCTTACCTTGTCTTTTCGGGTTTATCTTGGGTGGGGAACTGGTTTCCTTGGTTCGTCTTTTTCATTATAATTGTAAACGGGATTCATGTCCGCGTATAGCGTATGACCAACACATTTCTTTGCTTCAGTCATGATGTTGTGCAATGTCTTGATTTGGATCGGGAGATAGAAGTACAGTGATATTCTAAACACGACTCTAATATGTACAGTCATCCACGCATTTGACATGTCTTGATGCTTGCATTCATTCCATTCCGAAAAGGCTACGTTCTTTCTACTTGTCGTGTACCAACATTGTTTTGGTATTCGCTTGTAAGAGGACGAGGATCGGCGGGGGTCGGGTCTGTTTACTTGAGCTGGGCGAAGAGCTTGGGGGCGGCGCATTGGGATGCGCAGTGGGCGAGGTGGAAAACTGGAGGTGGGTTAGAGGATAGGAAGGTGATGGAAGTGGACTGTTGACGTACATTCTTCAACGCAGTCCTCGCTGGCCTTGCCGTCGTTCTCGATCTGGCCTGTTACCCGTTGGGCGCACTCGTCGTAGTGGTGCTTGGGACCGTGGCATTCCTTGGACTCGGCGCATTCTGCATGAGATGGTTAGTTATGGTTCCGTCTGCGGTGGCGCTGTGTGTCTGGTATCGGGCCATGTCGGATACGGTGGGCTTCTTATCGACACGTCCGACCAAAGCCGAAGCCCCCGAGACACGCAATTGATCTCTCAAGGCCGCTGGATTGCCATTTTCGTAGTCCGGGATAACTCACCCTGCTCAAGCTTCTCCTTTGGGTCGGGCTCCTCCTCGTCCTCTTCCTCCTCCTCAGGTTCATCTTCGTCATCGCCGCTCGGCTTGTGTCCCTGCTCGCCCGAGTCGCCGCCCTTCTTCGCATCCTGCTTGTTGACCTCGGCCTCGTCGCCGCTCTCCTCGTCGGTGCCGGAGGCGGGCGTCTGGGTGCTGGTGCCACCTTGGACGGGCGGTTGGCCCTCGGCGTCGGCCGAGGGGTGGGAGAAGGTCTCCCAGACGTCGGAGAAGAAGTCGGTGATACCCATAATGGTGGCTCCGGGGCAATTGGGGGTCCTCGAGTGTGGGTGCGGGTGGTAGCGGAGGGTGTTGGGCGATGGGAAACGAGAGCTGCGAGAGGTGTCATGCCGGGATCGCGAAAATGGGCGGCGCACGGGCCAGCGAAATGGTTAGCGGCGTCATGTAATTCTGAGGGCTCTCAGTGGTCTCTTCACTGCGCGATCACATCCGCCGTGTCTTCCCTCAACAATGTGGTTTTGTATCGTAGAAGAGACATGACTAGTTTCTATGCTTCTTGAACGCCTCCTCCACGCTAACTCCGTATCCCACGTCCGCAATCACCTTCTCGTCCGCCTCGATCAGCTTTGGTAATAGATCGAGCAGTTCGTCTACCTTGCCCTGTGGCACCGCGACCACGCCATTCTCGAAAGGGTCAATCATGATGATGTCGCCGGCTTCGACCACCGTCTCGCCGATTCTCACGGGCACATTGTGTGCATGAAACTTAGTCTCGGCTCCCGCGCCGATGACAGACGTCGCTTTGGACCAGATGGGCAGCTGCGTCTGATTCAGCGCAGTAATGTCCCGCACCCGACCGTCGACCACGATACCCTCTGCACCGAGATGCTGCATGCGAGCCGCCATGATTCCTCCGACGACTGCGCACGACTGTCCTGGAGGCTGGCTGATGACTACAATCGTGCCGCTCTCAGTGTAGTCCGCGTAGGGCCGGGAGTCTGTGAGATTGGAAGCTGGAATGCTATCCGCCATCTTGGGAGGGTTTGGGAAAGACTTGGTCGCTTTCGGAATCATGAGGAAGGTCGATGCGGGCGCGAGGACCTTCTTAAGCTCAGGCTTGGGGATGCTGGCTGTGTGAAGCAGCGGCCCTGACAAGGTTAACAGGTGATGTGACACGATGTCTTCAATTGATCGTACTGATATCAGCGAGGAAGCCCGCGCCAGGTACGTGTAGCTTCAATAGCCCATCAGCGAGCTGTGAGAGATTAGCTGCACGTCTTGGCGTGGAGAAGGTAAGCGTACATCGCATGCTGCGTATTCGTACAGCTTCTTCCATTTTGGTGATGCCATTGCTGTGATTCTGTAATATGGAACGCGAGACAATGTATATGATCTAGACATGCAGCGCGACAAGCTATGAGGCTCTTTACCCCGCCGGCCGAGGTGCGCCGCAACTATGGAAACTATGTCTTCTCCAACATGGAACTAAACGGCCCTGGGTGTCGCACACGTGTCTTCAGCTGTAGACTTCTCAGTCAATCGGACAGTCGAGATTGATCGGTTGCACATACTTCCTCTACGTCATCGGCCAATTGCATTAAGCCCTAGGGCGCGTCACAGAAGTAGACGCTGCTGTAGCATGCTGCACGTAAAGAGACGCGATAACGCAAATGCAGAGTAGCCTACAAGATGATTATGTGATAGCCGTGGCGGTGAATATGAGCCAGATGGTGGCGCAAGGTCGAGTTCCGCCGTATCGCCAAGACACGACAGATGCAAGGGTCTCGGAACTTAGATGCATCTCAGCACTGGCCCCTTCTGCCACTTTCCATAGACGTGACGACCAGCTTTCCGTGGCCTCTCGCCGCCACGCCCAATCCACCGCCCACGCGCGCCTATTCCTTTTCTTTCATCGGGTACTAGACACAGTCTTTGCGGCTTCTGCGCTGCGCATTCTTCACCATGGCCCTCCACGCGGCCGGCGCTGCCCAGGTGCGTTTTGCCACGAGTTCCGACATCGCGTCATTGAACCCCTACTGACTTGGATATAGAAAGTCGCTTCTGTCACGTCGCAACTGTCGCCCACCATGTCTACCGTCCTGCGCTCCCCGTGGCACGCCCTGGGCCGCATGCCCACGGCTGCCGGTGTCAGGCAGCTCACTACCGCATCTTCGTCTTCATGTTCAGGTAAGTCGCAATGAGGCACAGTCGGAGCACAACACTGACACTCTGCAGTACCGCGCGTCGGACTATGCAATCCCCTCGCCCTGACATCGCCCGTCGCTGCCCTCAGGGCCCGCCAGTTCTCTTCCATGTCGCGCAACGGCCCTCTCTCGCACCTCCGCCAGCTGACCAAGCCCGGCATGCTCGGCCTCAGCCTCGTACAACAGCGCTCGCTCTTCGGTGGTCCCTCTCAGGAACAACTTGCTCGGCTCGAACAGGCTGCTAATGCCAACCCTACGAGCGCCTCCGCCCAGGCTTCCTTCTACTCGGCTCTTCTGCGCGGCAACTACCACCAGATCATCATCGACCGGTACAACACAGGACGCTTCGCCACCAACTCTACAATTGACAAGATGTACAACAACGCCCTGGCAAAGACGGGACAGGACGGCGGCGAACACTCAGGGCTCACTGCGAACCAGCGCCAGGCTATCACCCAGGCCATCGGCGCAAACGCTGGCGGTGCTCAGGTCGCCAAGACCAGGGGCGGCGCTGGCGTCAAGGCCGACCCCGTCTACGTCGTCGTCGAAGAGTCTCTGATGAATGTCATCTTTAAGTGGGTCCGCTGGATCTGCGGTTTCGCTTTGGCTGCCTACGTCTCCCTGATCCTCATCACTCTCTTCGTCGAGACCAGCGGCGTCCTCAAGAAGGGCGTTGGCGGTAAAGAGAACGCCGAAGTCCGCCCCGAGCAGCAGAACACTCGCTTCAGCGATGTCCACGGTTGCGACGAGGCCAAGGAGGAACTCACCGATGTCGTCGACTTTCTCAAGAACCCCGACAAGTACAACAAGCTCGGCGGCAGACTCCCCAAGGGTGTACTCCTAGTTGGCCCTCCTGGTACTGGTAAAACTCTGCTTGCTCGTGCTTGCGCAGGAGAGGCCGGTGTTCCCTTCTTCTACATGTCCGGTTCTGAATTCGACGAAGTTTACGTTGGTGTCGGAGCCAAGCGTGTCCGCGAACTCTTCACTGCTGCTCGAGGCAAGGCGCCTGCCATTGTCTTCATCGACGAACTTGATGCCATAGGCGGAAAGCGCAGGTCGCGCGACGCCAGCTATCACCGCCAGACCCTCAACCAGCTTCTCAACGATCTCGACGGTTTCGACCAAAGCAGTGGTGTCATCTTCATTGCTGCCACCAACCACCCCGAGTCTCTCGACGAAGCCCTGCTTCGCCCCGGACGTTTCGATCGTCATGTCCAGGTTGAACTCCCTGATGTAGGTGGCCGACTGGCTATCCTCAAGTACCACACTCAGAAGATCCGCCTCTCTCCCGATATCGACCTTTCTACCATCGCCCGTGGCACACCTGGATTCTCTGGTGCCGAGCTAGAGAATGTTGCCAACTCGGCAGCTATCCGCGCTTCTAAGATTCAGGCAAAGTTCGTCTCTCTCGACGATTTGGAGTGGGCCAAGGACAAGATTAGCATGGGCGCAGAAAGGAAGAGCCGCTCCGTACCGCTCAAGGACAAGATTCACACCGCCTACCACGAGGGTGGCCATGCGCTCGTCGGTCTCTACAAGCCTGGCTTCAACGATCTACACAAGGCGACTATTCTTCCCAGAGGTCACGCCGCCGGTATCACCTTTTTCCTTCCGGAAGAAGAGGGCCATCACACTCGCAAACAATACATACGCCAACTGCAGGTCTCTCTGGGCGGCAAGATTGCCGAAGAGCTTGTATATGGAGAGGAGAATGTATCCACCGGAGCTTCTAGCGACATTTCCAACGCAACAAGGATAGCCTACATGATGGTCACTCAGTGCGGTTTCTCAGAGAAGCTCGGCAACGTCGACTACAAATCTAATTACGAGATGGTCGCACCCGAGACCAAGCGAATCATCGACGACGAGGTGCGAAAGCTGATCGATGAGGCAAGAAAGGATGCGAAGGAGCTGCTGCTGTCGAAGCGCAAGGAGCTTGACAGATTAGCCGATGCGCTTGTGCAGTACGAGACGCTGGACAAGAAGGAGATCATGAAGGTCATCAAGGGCGAGGACCTCCCAGGCCGGCTGAAGGCCTTGCCTGACGCGCCCATCAAAATCCCAGATAACCCACTCCCCACGGCGATAAGACCAAGGGGTGATGGTGGTGATGGCCCAGAACCTCCCGCTCCCATACCTGCGTAGTTAGCGGGATGGGAATGATGAATGTGCATAAAAGCACGTTGTTTATGAGGTGAATGGCGTTCGTTCGACCTCTTCCCTCTCGTTGGAGGGTTTCGCTTCATTGGTCATGTACAATATTAGGAATACTTTAGCTTAGCGAATAGAGCGAGCTATTGACCATAACGAGCTATGGATTGTGGTGAGAGCCGTATGTGGAGATGATGGACAGAAAGAGGTAGACTGATGAAGTAAGACAGCAACGAGGAATGAGAATAGACACATCAACACAAGCAGCTTGTCATTCAGATGAAGCTACCGTGTACGCTATTGAGGGTCCTACGCTCCAACTTTCGTGAATCTAACCAGGTAATCGCGACTGCAATTCATTCACTCATGTCGCCAGTGTGAAGATCAGCTTTCACCCGGCAATGGCCAGATGAGCAGTGGCGAGCCTCTGAGCCCAGTGCTCTCTACACGTACTCTCAAAGGTCGCGAAACAAGGACAACCTACTATGTACCTCCGAGCTTTGGCAATCACTGCAGCCAACTCAACTTCCTCACGGTCACTTCTACGGCTCCAGCCCCGTACTTCTTTTCGGCCTTGGAATTACAACATGGCCAGCTCCCGTAACAATAGGACTGCAACTTCGACATCGCGGAACATCACCGGCATTGTCGACACGTACGCGTCACCGACTATGGGCTCATCACCAGCAGAATACTCGCGGCGGTCATATGATCCTATTCTGAGCGGTCGTGGACATGGTGATGTCAGCATGTCTTCCTCACCATCACCATCGCCATACCCCCTTTCAAACTCCAGGCGAGCCAACCTCCATCAATCAACATCCACGCATTCAGGCTACCTCGACCGCGCCCAACTTTTCGGTCGCACGCCTATCCAACAAAACACACGTCGCGCCCGCCCTCCTTCAACCTCGAACGAACGAAACATACGAAAGCGTTCGTCGCGTACCCCTACTGGCGAGTGGGCGGAAGCCGGTCTTCCTGAACCACCTATCGAGGCGAGTAGGGTTAGCTTGGAGAATGCTGAGGGTTTGGTTTGCACACCCACCGGTATCACCACCTTGGACGTCGAAGAAGACACGCCAGGTCGCTTTTCACCCTCAGCGCAATTGCCTGCGACTTGCAAGACTTCGCCTGCGGAAGATGCGTTAAGGGAGCAGTTTGAGAAGGGTAGGGTAGAGCTGGCTAGGAATCTTGCGTGGCGAAGTAGTTCGAATGGGAAGTCGAAGTGCGCTGGCAGGAGTTTTGATACGAATCGTGAGGGGTGTGTGTCTCCTAAGACGCCGACAAATGTTTCTGAGGACGAGGAGAGCGAGTTTGGGTATGTAGATCCGGCGAGTGTGCGGGATGTTCTTGCGCGGGTGAAGGCGAGGGAGGCGACTGGACGTACTCATTCGCTCTTCGATAGTTCGCAGCATATAAGAAACCGCGATGAGCCGAGCGAAAGCTATTTCGACGTCGGCATTCCGCGCCGCAATAAGAATGCACTCTTCGCCGATTCACCGGATGCAGACATGGCTTTGCCAAAGCTTCCGGATCGCCGTGTCTTTTCGCTAGTCGAACCGCCGCCGATGAAGACACCAACTCGGAAGCGTCCATCCCCAGTGAGCAGTCGAGCTGAGCTCTCGTTCTCGCCCATCTTAGCTGCTATCGACGTAACTCCCCGGCCAACGAGCCACGATCTCGCTATCACGCCCGTTACCACCCACCTCACTCTCAGCACCATCACGATAACATTATCCCAACCGCCTACTCCTCCACGTAGCCGCACCGGTCTCACCTTCTCACAAGCAACCGCGATAATCTACGGCTGCATGACCATAACAGCATCACACCAAGCGCTTCTTGGTCTAGGCGGCGACATCGCTGCTATGGACTTGATCATAGGTCTATTCGGCGCTTTCCTTCTCGGCCTTGCTATTTGTGTAGTTCTGAAAATGCTGCTCGGTGCTAGATTGCGACGCGTACCTAGGGACGTTCTGCGATAGTGTGGGCGGGCATGGGGTTTTGCACGTCAGGCTTTTTGAGAGGGGGTTGGGCATGGGGTTTGACAGCGCCGCGGTCAGAGGGAAGGTTGTCATTTGACCGGATAACGAGTTGCTTTAGCCATGTATAGGGGCATGATGTAGATATGGGGATTGATGCGCACTACGGTATAGTGAGTAGCTATGTAAGTTTCATGTTGATCGTTGATATCATTCCGTACCAAACCAATAGCCTCTCATGATGTGCGTGGATATATCCATGTGAACACCAAGATTTTCGCGACCATCACTCCACTCCGCTCAATAACCCTTCACCAAAATTTCATGCCGGTACCACATCCACATCCTCCCTCCCTCCCCCTCTCTCCATCCCCAATCGCCCCTACGTCCTCCTCCTCCCCTCCTCCGCCTCCCGATCCCCCATCAACGACTCATCCGCATCTCCATACTCCATAACGCGCCTGCGCGCCTCCCTCGATATCGCGTCGCTCTCCTCTTGGACACGGCGCCGCTCCTCTTCCGCCCGCGCCTCGATAAGATCCTGGACGTAAATCGTGGCGTCGGTGAGCTTGGTGATGATGAAGTTGGCGATTGCACGGGGGGAGCCGGGGCCGTTGCTGTCCATTGTGTGGAAGAGATGGTGCTGGAGAATGTGTTGGGTGAGTGGTAGTGGGAGATGGAGGATATGGGGGATATCTGAAATTAAGTGGTTTAGAGAGTGAGATTTTGAGGGGTTAGAATAAGGAAGGCTTGAGGATGTATGGTGGTTGGATTTTATTGCGGCGATGATGTGTATAGAAAGAGGTGAATTGTGCCTTCACCTGCTTCCCATGGTACGTGGTGGACCCTTATCCGCTTTCCACGTTGATATGTCCAACCTGCTAATGTGTCGCTTCGCGAAGTTCACTACCGCATTCACATTCCTTTCCAGCCCTGGAATGCGCCCGCTAACCTTCACTCGTTGCGCTGTCCAGAATTGGTGGCCACTTAAGCGCATTACTGACAGGTTGAGACGAGCGTTACCCTTCATTTCTTGTTATACATCCTCTCCGCTCTTAAAACACCATAGCCCCACCATCAACAATGATATCCGTCCCATTAATATACCTCCCCGCATTACTGCACAGCAGCACCAACGGCCCCGTAAGCTCCCACGGATGCCCCATCCTCCCCATCGGATTCCTATCATTCCAACTCTTCCGCGCCCTAATCAATCCATCGCCATCATTCAATATCGTATCCATATACCCCGGGCTTAGGCAGTTCACCCTGATACCATAGCTACTCCACTCCGCCGCCAAACTCTTCGCCAGCGACAACAGCGCTGTCTTTGAAGAATTATACGCGCATTGCGGCTGTGGGTAATTCGTGTGATGCGCGGATATACTCGCCGTAAATGTAACACTACCCCCCGTCCCCTGCGCACGGAATTGCTTCGCAACAGCCTGTGCACACAAGAACGACCCCGTAAGATTGATATCGTGGGTGCGCCGCCATTCATCCGCCGCCATCTCAATCGCATGTGTGCAGCCTACGACGCCGGCGAAACAGCAGAGCATGTCTATGCTACCGAGTACCTTGACAGTGCTTTCTACGGCTGAAGCAATGGCTTTCTCGTCGCGTACGTCGACGGCTTCGGTTATGATGCGCGCGTGGGGGAACTTGGAGTGCAGTTTCTTGACGCTTTCGAAGGCTTGGTCGGGGTTCATGTCCCAGAGGGCGAGGCCCGTGGCGCCGTGTTCGAGGAGGGCGGCTGCGGCTTCGAGGGCGAGGGTGCCGGCGCCACCGGTGACTGTGGTGATGGTGGTTAGTAAGATGGTCTTGGTGTGTGGGGTGTGGATGGGGATGGGTATGGAGATGAAGAGGGCGAGGTTACCCTAAAGGCGTTCACGTACTGATCGCATTGCCCTTGACCTGGAACCTATACTGCGCTCTCTCTGCCGTAGACAAGTTCTCTGGTGGTGGCTTGGGTGCTGTGAGAGGGTTGTCTGCTGTTGACAGGGTCATCTCTGGGAGCTGTCGGTTGACGAGCGCGGCGCGGTCTTCTGCGTCTCCTGCCATTTTGATTGGATTGCTGCGTCGATGAAGTTGAATAGAGTGTTCAACGTGTTTCCTGGTGAATTGGGGTCTTGATACGCGGATTGGGCCTTCTTATGAACGCGTTCGGACGACTGAGGTCCGTTGTTCGGAATGTTGGTGGAGCGCGCCCAGCTCGAACATGACGTCGGAAAGGATCCGCCCCACTGCAGCGAGTGAGGAAGGTGTGCCGAGCGCGGGGTGAACTGCGACACCACAATCTTCATTTCCACGGTGTTGATGTGCGACCATCAAAACCTCATCAATGCGCCTCGGCGACTCGTTTGCAGCAATAATGTGTTAAGACTCACCATTCCCACAAGTCGCGATGTGCGCATCTGATCCGATCTAGCAATTCCACACAGCGCAACGTGTGGCGCGACTACCCACTAAAAAGTGAATGTCTTGGTCAATATGGTCGCTCAGTACCGGTGTTCTCTTTCACCCAAGACCTATAATAATCGTAAGCCGGATTTAATCACCTCTATCATGTGCTTCCTCCAAATGTATGAGACCCCACTCAACGGCATTCTTCATTCCAATCAGCTCAACCATGAAATACTCATCGCAACCAACTCCGTCAACCCTCGAAAGGGACTTCGGACCGGAATGGTCCGACCGCCTTCGCACAACTATCCCGTCCAACTCAGAGCTGATGATTGTCGAACAAGAAGCATGGAAGGATCAAGCTCATTGGAGGGACAACGACTCAGCTACCCCGAGACCTGTTGACCCATGGAGGTTGATAACTCCACCGGGGACGCCTGGGAAAGAAGATGAGTATTTAAGAAAAGTGGCGGAAGATGGCTTTACGCTCGAACAGAAGTACGATGCCGCGAGCTGGGCGCTTGTCAAACACGATTACAACTTCGAAGCTTTCGAAAGAGTCAAAGCGCATCGATTGCGCTGTAGTCTGGAAACGCAGAACTTCGCGAAAAGGATCGTGTGGTATGTCTTTTTGGCTGTCCTGCTCCATGGTATCTGGACGCACTGGAACGAGTCTGAGAAGCGCGGTACGTGCGATTGCCATTGTCCTTACTGTATCACAACAGTGGATTGATGTTATGGGTTTGCTGGAAGGAGCCGGATGAAGCGAGCCCGTGTATGCGACATTCTCTCAAGCATACCATAAGCCGACCGTGATGTCAGAAAGCTGTGTGCTGGTAGTTAAATAAACGACAAAACTGCTGTATGCGCGTATAACAAAGTATCAATTCGCCGTGATAGCTCATAGATACGTCCTTGACAGCAACTCCATCCATCACCGCGCAGCGCGCGATGCAGCTAAGATGCGGGGTCTCCACATCGTACCTTCCGCTAATGATAGCTTGATCTGCATCATGAAAACGAACGACTACCCAGCTGATCAACGCTTCTTGATCATGACCAGCAGGTCCGGGGTTTTATCACATATCTATTCGCGACCCTCTCCGACCACGTCCAATGGCAAATGAAGATGGTCTGGTAAGACGCGGTACGAAAAGAGCAAGAACGCGGCACGGGTCAGTACGATCAAGTCAAAAACACACCACGACAACAACCACAAAATCCTAACACACACCCCCCAGCTGCACCAACTGCAAAGTAAAAAGACGCAAATGCGATGAAACGAAACCCACATGCGGTCGCTGCAGCAGCAAGAACGAAAAATGCAACTGGGCTTCTCGCCTCGCCTTCCGGGCCGAGAATGCTCTAGGTGTCGGGCCATCATCGCTGCATCGCTTGCCAGGACGACCGCCAGCGCGATTCAAGATCAAGGATGTGACGGAGGAAGTTATACGCGACTATCAGCATTACGATCCAGTAGTGGACGACCTTGATGTAGCGGACCGATTCAATCATGATGGTCAGACTCCGCCTTCCAACACCATATCGCCATCCACAGCCGACAACGAGCATGTACCATCGCATCAAGCTCACGCTCACCCGTATTGGCAGCCGAACACGCCTTTCTCGGCTGCGGAAGATACTATAAACCCTCTCCAACCGACCCAGTATATTCCTCTACCCACGCCTGGAGATATCGAATCTATCTGGCACAGTCCGGGCACTACTACGTATCTAGACGACAGCGTCTTCCTACCAGGTTCAGCGTATCTCGATGCGCATTCCACGTTCCGGAGTCATTTGATACAAGAAGTGAGATCTAATGTGCCGACTCGAGAGGTTACACCGGATGCTGCGCGTGTTGGACTGGGCTGGGGAGGGGTGCAAGGAAATTATGCTGAAGATGCAGCGAGGCATATTGGGGAAACCTCTCTTAACACCCCACACCTCAACGAGCCAGAAACGCCAAACATCCCGCCACCCCAGCTGTCCGCAGAGGAAGAATTTGAACTCTGGAAAAACTGGCTCGACGAAGTAGCACCCTGGATCGATAAATTCGACCCAGAGCGCCACTTCCAACGCACACTACCCATCATGGCGCGGTCGCACGATCACTTGCGGTACTCGATGCTCGCTCTCTCAGCCCGGCAAATAGAGCGGAAGAACAGCAGTAAACATACCTCGCGTAGTCTAGCTCTGTATCAGACAGCCATTCAACTCGTCCTCCCACAACTACACACCCGCAGCACGCCGGTAATAGCATCATGCGTCGTGCTATGTGTGTTGGAGATGCTGAGTAGTTCGGCGAAAGCGTGGCATCAGCATCTAGATGGATGTGCGCATTTGCTGGAAGCTGTGGGGATTAATGGGTTTAGCGGTGGTGTTGATCAAGCGCTGTTTTGGTGCTTTGCTCGCATGGACGTCTGCGGCGGGCTCATCGCGTCGTCTAAAACGCTCATACCGGTGGAGCACTGGGCTTCATCAGGGATGGGTCTCGATGCCGACGTGGACCGTTTCCGTTCCGTGGGCGACTACAACGTCTACGCATGCGAAGCCGTGTATCTCATTGCCCAGATTCTCGACCTACTTTCTTTCCATTCAAACCTAGCCGGTCGCGTGGGCGCCACACCACGCTTGTCCACAGACACAGATGCCGCGTACTCTGCTCGTTGGACAAGACTCTGGCACCACATCTCAACATGGTACACCACGCGCCCCGCAGAAATGCTCCCAATTTCCTATTTCACTCCACCCACCACCCCCTTCCCGCGTCTCCTCTACAGCAATCCCGCTGCCATGTCCGGCAACCAACTCCACCACACCGCTTGCATACTGATGCTCCGCCACAAACCTCCCAACACCACCGTCGCACCTAAACCCAACTCAATCTTCTGGCACGCAAGACAGATCTGTGGGATCTCGATTAGCAATGATGATCATGCTGCGTGGACGAATGCGATCCAGCCGCTGTGGATTGCGGGACAGTGGATGAGCCATGAGAGTGAGCAGAAGGCGATTTTGCAGCTGCTGGAGAAGATTGAGAGACTTTCGGGGTGGAGTACGAAGTGGAGGGCGGAGGATTTGAAGGAGTTTTGGGGGTAGTGGAGAGTAGTTGGGATGAGGCTGCGGTTCAGCCTGGTCTTCTACAGTATGTGTGGTGGCGGTGTTACGCGAGGCCTTGGAGTGCTTGCCGCTGGAGGCGCATTTGATATCCCCGACGGGTGAGGCTCCCAATCATGTTCGATGACCTTGGAGGCAGGAATTCAGCTTTCGAAGCTGAGTGTCCAGTCGTGAACGTCTCTCGTGTTCGCGGGCTTGGCGGCATCTTCTGGCCCCCCCTGTTCAGCCTCGTAGCCTGGTCTATCATGTTAAAAGCTTTGCTGTTGCCAGATGTTGCGACAGTCTAATCCATATCCGCATAGCCTTGTTATAAGTCGAATCCGCCGAAATGGGCAACAGCTTTGGTTTCTTGAGGGGTGAAAGTGGAAGCGGGTTCCAGTTTAACGTTGTGGAGGCCTGCAAGGCTGAGGATGTGGACCTCGCTCAGGCTTGTAGCCTGACGTTCGGCGCGGATCACGACTTAGTCTCGATTGGCAATGTTACGAGAGGAAGAATGGTGCCGCAGCCTGGTATAGCTGGAATCGGAGTAAGTCAAGAAGATGATTCGCAGACATTGTGCTGACATAGCTAGATATGGATCGCGATGGTACTGTTCTTCGTCGTTGTCGTAATCTCCTTGATGTTCGTCTTCATCGAGCTCTGGTTCAGGGCAGATGTCTCGTAAGTATATCGGAGTGTAGGTTGTCGAACCAGACTAATCGTCGACGCACATAGTCAATTTGGCAGCGCCTTCGCAAGCTTCCGAGACAAACCCAACAACAAGACTCCCGAGAATCCGAACGCGGATCCGACATGGAAAGATAGAGTGCGCGCAGCTGGCCGAACATTCGTCTTGGGTGTGGCAGACACCCAGACCATCTTCGTCGGAGCTTTCCTTCTCGGTTTTGCTGGCCGGAGCAAGTGTAAGCTGACAAGCTATCACTTTACGGTCGCCGTCAGCCAGATGATGATCGCTCTGTCTGTCCTCACCTTCTCCATCGCGCTGGTGCGAACCTATTGGCGAAACCCACTTGCTGCCGCTTTTCGACTAATTCTCTCGGTTGGGGCCTTTGTCGGTGTCGGATTGACCATCTTCAGGGAAGCCAACTATGCTCCGTATGGCGCGCTTGAACATTCGAGCAAAGACAGCGCCATCCTCCTCCCAGTAGCATGTATGCTAGAAATGGACCTGAGATCAGCAGCAGAAGAGCAAGCGCGTCAGAACCAAGCCAATCTCGGTTTCGGAAACGCAACAGCGTGGCCACCCGAAAGATTCATGTATATCGTCCTCGGCGTCGCTTTCCTCGCCGCCCACATCTCAGTCCCCATCCGTTTCGCCGAATCCAGAGACCGCGCACCGAAAGTCTGGACGGAGAAACGCGCTTTCGTCACCTTGATCTACTGGATCTTGGTGTTGCTCACACCCATCGTCACGTCGATGTTCTGCTGGTTCCGCGTGTACACGATGCGCGTGTGGGTAGCTGGGTCAGGGTGGATGGAGGATCCGAATACGGAGATGATAGTGTGGGATTCGGGACAGTTGATTGCTATGGGTGTGCTTATCACGGTTATTATGAATGTGCTTACTGAGGCGAAGGAAAGGGAGAAGAAAGACGCGAAGAAGAGGAGTGATGGAAGGGATGGAGAGGCGGGAGTGGAGTTGCTGCCGACTGCGTATCGTGGGTATGAGTGTTAGGGTGCCTGATAAATCCTCTCACACGTTTAGACAATGGTAGCGAATTGTAGCCGAAATTGTGACTAGACGACCCATAATCGAGCTCTCTCAGCATCGTGTCGGTTTTTGCGCGTCGTTAAAAGCAGCTTTTGTTTGCGCATGAATTGTGACATCGTGTTGGTGATGGTGAAGGGTGGGCGCGTCGCGATTTCAAAGCGCGATGACGGCACCAGAGTGCACGGACTCTCGGAGGTTGCGGCGATGTCGACCACTGTATGGTTGTCTCCATTACCACGACCATCGCCGCCCACGACACGCAGAACCCGGTCGAAGGCCTTACGTAGCTTGCGCCTTCTATATACGAATCACGACGCCGAGTGCACCTCTTTCCCTACGGATGGGCACACCACCACATCGCCCCCAACTGATCGCTGCCTTGGCTGGTGCCGTGTGCTTTCACTATTACCGTTATACAGCGACATATTCACACCTAATCTAATACTTCCCCTGCAGACCGACCGACCACCGAAAGTGTCAGACCCTATCTAAACACATTTACCCTACACATACACCGATTCGACGTCTCGCATTGGCCTCTTCAACGCCCCGCCACCATGTTCACGAGCTTCACCGGCAACACGCGAAAGGCGCGCCAAGTCAACCTCGGCGGCAAGAAGACGAACCCCTTCGGCCCTCCCGGCTCCGGCGCCGGGTCACAAGCCGCCCTCGACCGCGCACAGCAAGAGCGAGCGCAACGGCAGCGGGAACGAGACACGCTCAATGCGGCCAAGCGGATACAGAAAGTATGGCGGGGTCACTCTGCCAGGAGAGATGTGGCTGACGAGCTACGGGGCGCATGGGACCGGGTAGAAGAGGCGAATGGCTCTTCGAGGACGGCGACATATGACTCGGAGGAGGAGGCTCTTGCCCAACTACAACGGCTGCTCCGATTCGCTTCTTCACGGAGCGATGACGACCTTAGACGGATACAGCACTATGCATCGCGGCAGATGGAGACAGTCAAGAAGTTGGGCATCACATCAAGCGGGCCGTGGCCGTGGGCATATCTAAGGCTGGAGCGTATCCTTCTCGTGGCCATAGAGCGGCAGCTTCAGAAGCACGCGCCGATGCAATGGAATCAGGTTGGGGCCTCTCTCACCGTTTTACAGTTCCTCGCCGACCAGATACCCGCCGAAACGTCCCAGAATGCCGAGCATTACTACCGTACTCTTGCACGCGTCGTGTCCACCTTCACCCCAACCCTCGAAACGCAGAGCGAAGGATCGGAGATAAGTGACACCATAGTCAGGGCAGCCCTCTCGCCGATGACGCGGGTGACTGGCTACACACTGGACGCTTATGAGGCTTTCGGTATACACTTCCTGACCCTTCCACTATTGGGCTCGGACTCCACGTCACCACCATTGCAAAAGTTCCGCGACTCGCTCGCTGACGCCATCAACTACAAGCTACTCGCAAACGCATTGGCGACACTTTCCAAAAGGGCAGGACTGCAGAGCAAATCCGAGCTGAAGAACACATCAAGTAGACTGCGTTTACTGGGAAACTTTATCTACTTCCACCGCTACGCCCACAACTTCGACACTCCCGAAGCCTACGCTGTCCACAAAGATTTTGTAGCCGTCGTATCGGTTCTGTTGAACTCCCTGCCAATCAATATTGTAGATGATGATCATCCAATCGCCGAGCTTTCCGAAGACGACGGTGCCGAACAAGACTCCAGCGCAGTGTCGAATTTCCTGAAAGAACAAGTCCGCTCTCTAGTACATCAGGAAGGTATTGGAAGCCTTTTGGCTGGATCATCACAGTCAGCGGAAGCTTCAGATGATGAGAAGGTCGAAGAAGCCCGGCAGCTTGCAAACTACGCGCTTGCATTACTTCGCTTCTTCCCTCGTCGCGGGGACGAGATACGAATGTGGCTTTACATCGGTCCATCAGAGGCATCTGGAAAGAGCGCAAGGAAGCTTCCGGCGATCAGATACTTTTGGGAAGCATCAAAACGATCCTCGGTCTTTACCACCATCTTCAGGGACTCGAGGGCAGCTATCGGACTCTTGAAGCCGAAATCTTCAAATCTGAACAACTCTGACCGCCCCGGCACATCTGGACTAACGCAACATGGCTTTTGGCAGCCTGCACAACAACAAGTCGATCGCGATGCAGTCACCACCGACGAATGGCGGGTCATTCTGGTATTCCTCGAACTATATACCTTTGTACTCAAAGTCACCGACGACGAGGAGTTCTTCACTTCGGGGCAGAAAGACATCTACTCCGGTCAGATCCGCGACAGTGGCTTACCTCTAGGCGAAGTGAAGGACTTGACGACTTTCCTGAAGAATTTGGGCTTCACACTTTACTTCAACGCAGTGGACATTACAACCTCGGAAGAGGATATGGGAGGCAATAACAGGGGTCTTAGCTACTTCAATCCTGGAGTCATGGATAATCAAGTCCAGAAAGAGCATGCTGAGCCATCAATAGGTGGTGTTGCAGGCTTGAGGATAGATTACGTCAAAGGTCTGGTCACTGGACTACTTCGTATGGTATACGAACGCGACTCGCGACGCAAGTTCCTGCCTTCGGACCACTGGCTGATGGTTTCGCGCTTCGACATGACAGGGTTCATTCCGGCTGTAGTTGAAGAGGAAGAGTCGCGGCACAAGATCCAAGAGGAGGATGCGGAAGATCTTGACGAGCTGGAAGAAGAGGAATTCGACGACACACCACAACTCATCGGCACCAGCCGTACCCAGACACAACGACGCTTGGAAAAACTACAACGGCAGCAGCGCAAGGCTTCGCGGAGACGGTACCTGCAAGCCGTAGCACCTCGTCTCGAGATCCTGCAGAACATGCCGTTCTTCATACCCTTCACCACCCGTGTTCAGATCTTCCGCGAGTTTGTTAAACTAGATATGATCAAGCGACGAGGATCTGCGGATCCTGAGTTCTGGCGGTTCCGGACTATGCAGCAGCCAAACGCTCGCAGCCAACTCGAGAAACATACGGCACGGATCAGGAGAGAGAACGAGTTCGATGATGCTTTCGAGCAATTCTATGAACTGGGTCAGGGCTTGAAGGAACCGATCCAGATTACCTTCATGGATCAGTTTGGCGCCCCTGAAGCTGGTATTGATGGTGGTGGTGTTACGAAGGAGTTCCTCACCAGCGTCACCAGCCGAGCTTTCATGCCAACTGAGTACATCGACATGTTCGTTGAGAACGACCAACATCTCCTGTACCCCAATCCCGCAGCAGTTGAAGAACACAAAGAGGCCCTCCGACAAGCTGGTATACGCGAAGGCTCTCAAGAGTATCGTGCTCAAATCACTGAGCTGCTTCAACGCTACGAATTCCTAGGACGCATCATCGGCAAATGTCTGTATGAAGGTATCCTAGTCGACGTCAACTTCGCACCCTTCTTCCTACGCAAATGGGCACTAACCGGCGGCACGGGCTCCGCGCCCAACGAATCCGGCTACCGCCCCACCCTCAACGACCTCCGCGACCTAGACGAAGAGCTATACCAAGGCCTGCACAAGCTCAAGACGTACCCGGGCGACGTCGAAGACTTCTCCCTCAACTTCACCGTCACCGACACCGTCATCGTTGACCACACCACCTCGCCCAAGAAAACCAAAGCCATAACCAAGGACCTCAAGCCCGACGGCTCAAACACCCCCGTCACCAACCAGAACCGGCTTGTGTATATCAGCTACATGGCGCGCCACCGCCTGCAAAACCAACCTTACGCCCAAACCACGGCTTTCCTCCGCGGCCTCGCCACCATGATCCAACCCTCCTGGCTCTCCATGTTCAACCAATCCGAACTCCAGACCCTCATCTCCGGTACGCGTACGTCCATCGACATCGAAGATCTGCGCCGCAACACCATCTACGGCGGCACGTACGTCATCGGCGACGACGGGCTCGAGCACCCGACTATCCAGCTCCTGTGGAAGGTCATGAAGGAGATGAGCGATGATGAGAGGCGTGCGGTGCTGAAGTTTGTGACGAGCACGCCGCGCGCTCCGCTGCTGGGGTTTGGTACGCTGAATCCGAGGTTTAGTATTAGGGATGCGGGGAGGGATCAGGATAGGTTGCCTAGTACGAGTACGTGTGTTAACTTGCTTAAGTTGCCGATGTATGAGGATGAGCGGACGTTGAAGGAGAAGTTGCTGTATAGCGTTTTCTCCGGGGCTGGGTTTGATTTGAGTTAAGAGGTTGTGGGGGGAGGGGGAGAAGATTGCGGGGAGGAGGATAGATGGTGCGTGGTTGGGGAGGGGAAGTTGATAGATTTGCATAGCATGGTCTTATGGGGCTATTATAGGATATACTTGCATGATGCATGTATACCGTTTAACAGCATCTTGATTGCTCATGAATATTGTGTGTATTAGCCATGTGCAGCAGTCTTTCTTCATATCGTCAGGGATGGTTTTGTTCGCCGCCAGTGAGTCCTAGATTTTCGCACAGATCCAAGTCAAAGCAGAGAGTATAGAAGCTTCGTTGTCGGCCAGAGATCTAGAGGTCTCGTATCGTATCTGGGCCACCGAGCGGACCGAATGATAGGTTGTAACTTAGGAGAAGCAACGACAAGAGTATCATCAGGAGAACGACCACGAACACAGGCCAGTTCCGACCTTCGCTGGTTTCCTTCTTCTGAGCCTCGTTGCTCTCCTCTTTCCATTCCGTTGCGAGGATAGTCTGAGCCTTGTCGTACTTGGTGTTGAACTCGTCTAAATCTTGCTGGGTGCTATCGCTCTTTGCGCCTGGTGGATTTGCGGCTATGACTCTAGATTGGAAATCTTCGAGCAAGGATCGCACACCCAATATATCCCTATCAGGATGTTCTCGGAGTTCGCGATCATTGAGGAATGCAAGACATAGATCCATCGTGTTGTTCGCGTTCTCGGATCGGTACGCTAAATCTTTCCCAGCTGTGAACAAGTCCATGGCGAATGTGTCCCAGCAACGGTATACATCCATGCGTGTGAGAGCTTCGGCATCCGCAGCAAGAACTTGGAGAATCGCAGTAACTGCTTTCGTACGCGATGGGCGGTCCAGCATGAGTTCCCCTGCCATGTAGTACCGCAGGAGTGTACAGGTCAGCGAAGTTCGTTGTTGGGCTGTGACGGATTCTTCCCACGAGGCTTTATCGGCAACATAGAGAAAACATCCATATTCCATGGCAAGAATCCAGAAGGAAGGATGCTGGTGGGTATAATGACGCTCGTATCTCCTTATGTTGGCCTGTTGCCCGGCGAATCGTTCGAAAGTCATATCTCTGGTTGCGGTCCACTCGTCGTCTAACGCTCGCCTTTTGTACATCGTTGCCTTCGCCCAGTGAAGCCTCATGGTCTTTTCCATATCGTCTAACAACGCCGTATAAGGACGAAGGCTATGTCCTTCTAAGAAGCTGGCAAACTTGAGTCCTTGCCGCAAGTTCGCAACAGAACGGTCGGCGTCCGCCACAACCGCTCTTTCCGAAGGCAGTGCTTTCATTTCGAGAAGACATGCAACGAGTAGAGTAAGGTCGATGTTGAAGTCAGGCCCAGCTTGCGCCCTCAGTAAGTCCCATATTTCATCAGAGCGGAAGAAGTCGATCGCAGTTTTGTGGAAGAACTCGACCCACGCGTCCATGGAAGATGAGCCTCGTTCAGCAATGTTATCTTGGCCTGTGACTTCAAGTAAGCCATTTGTATGGCCATCGATTCTTCTCTTCATCCATAAGCATAGCGATCGTCGCTTGTTTGACGGCATAATCCGCATTTCCTCGGTAATAGCCTTTTCAGCAGTCATGTCTTCGTTATCGGCTAGAGCTAGTTGAAGAAGGCTCATTGGCTCGGAACTTGGTACTTCTTTGCTTCTCAGCATTATCAGGATCATTCGAGCCGTACTCGTTTGAGTCGCTGGATCTAGCGATTTGAAAATGAGCTTGTACATCTCCCAAAGTTCCCGGGGGAGGGCATCGAGTTTGCGTTGCAACGTAGATGCCGTCTCACCATTTTGTAGTCCTTTCAAAATCGAACGAAGAGCTAACACCACCCAGAGAAAAACGCCGTCCGATCTTTCACACAGGTCTCGTATCAGGGTTGAGCGGAGTTCTGGATCCAATTCTTCCATTTCTCTTAAGCCTCGAGACTGGTTTAGCCTATCAGAAACAAAGTTCATCATGTCTTGATACGTCAAGTCTTGTAGCCGAAGCTGAGGCATGTTGTGGAAGGCGTCAACGAACTCCATCAGGGGTCGGCTAGACAGCACCAGCTTCACATTATCGTAGGAAGACAGTGTTTTGATAATACGGACAAGCTCACGGAGATCTCCGGAGTACTCGTCCAATCCATCGATAAAGAGGCAGATTCTGAGGCCTTTGGAGTTTTCGACAAGCAGACGAAGAGCTTCTATAAGCTCTGAAGACGTCCAGGAAAGATCCAGCTCACGTCCGGCAACAATATCCATGCAGATTTCGGGAAATACGGACGGTATGAGCCGTGGACATTGCGCAAGAAGCGTGTGCAGCAGGCCTCGCATTAAGCCTTCTTGCGATGATTGCAGGGTGTGTCCAGCCGCCCAGAAGAAGAACCGGGCCTGCAGCAACGGAAGGCCAGCCCCCCACGAATCAAGGAGCTGAATCGTTTGAGGATGTGAGCAGATGTACTTCATCAACGTAGACTTCCCGCTCCCAGGCTTTCCCGAGATCCAGTATAGGCTGTTCTCACTACCGAGCCACTCCGCAAAATCTGACCAACGACGGTCCTGCTTGGGCGCTTTGAAGATCCACTCGTACGTGTCATGATGGGCTATCGCTGTATCGCTGAATCTGCTTTGCAGCCCACGGTAATGTAGCGCGGCCAGAACTTTGGTCGCAAGCGGGGAGAATCGCTCGTTGGAGACCGTTTCCAAGACTTGTGTGTTGGATCGATCTCTGAATGTGATCACACGCTCAATCGAGTTGCTAGGAGCCGGGTCTTCTTGGCCGGCAAGTGCGAAGTTTTGGTCGGCAACGGAACGGGTGGTGCCATCTTCAAGCCCCAGAATAACGCGGAGCACTGTCTCTCTTCTGGTATCTTCGCTCTTAGCCTCGGAATTTTTTGTGTCACGAGGTGACGCAGAATATCCGGAAGAACTTTGCGTGAATGTCAAGATCTGCACGATGCGCTTACTCGCCGTCTCGAGACTGTCAAGGCGCTGAGTTACTTCTGACGAGTGTACATCCGTCTTCGCGTTGAGCAGGGCAAGGAGGCGTAACGAGAGGTCCTGTTGATAACCTTCAAGCCTTCTGACAAGCCCTTCGATTTCCTCTTTCTTCAGGATAGTCCGAAGCGCAATGTGGAAACTTTTCCATGCAGATCGTTTGTTCGCTTTTGGGATAAGGTCCTCCAGATATTTGATGATTTGCGTTCCAACTCCAGAGCAACCTGCGATAATGCGGTCCAGTGCCTTTGAAGATTAGCACCTTATCTGTCTATGCAGTTACACAAGCTGGGTTTAGGATGTACCTCATATTCATCCTTGAGTGAGTCCTTACGGCCGCTGATTGGTGCACGCAAGCCATTGACCCAAGATTTGAGTTCCTGCGCTCGATGCTCGATCCCTGACACGCCGATGGTGGTACCTTCCTCGTGAATTTCGTGGCCAAGGAGTACAACTTTGACAGTGAAGTCAATGAATGTGACAACAGACGTCGCGATGGAGACTGCGCTGACGGGATCCATCGCAAGGACCAGAACTGATGATGGGTCAAGAGATTAGCGAGTTCGCGCAAGGCAGGAGCCGGTCTTTATCTGAACTATACCACGCGGGATTGGAAGTGAGCACTGGGATCAATATTAATGCCATGCGTCCACGCCATGCAGCCAGGCTGAGGCATCAGGCCTCGGTTGAAGTTGCATTGTGCACTGGTTTGGACCTATCACACTATCAGTACAGAGCTGGCATCTGAAGTGGCGGGGGCGAAGCTGCAGCTGAGGGCTGAGCAGCGCGCACTGCGTCGGCGTGAGTATGCCTACCGTACAGCTGGTATCGATTAAGCCAGTAAGCGTCCTTTGGCGAATGTCGGATGAATGTTTGATGCTGACAGCGGGCGATTTGGAGTTCAGGATTGTGGTAGAAGCGAAGGCGCAGCCTGCAGGCGCGATAAGGCCGCCACTGCCCGCATCTGCAAGCGTGCTTGACCCTTGACCCAATAAAGGTCGCTTAACCGACTACGTTCTTATTCGTAAATGTAGACATGTAGAATGTAAGATCCATATTCACATCACATCTTATACCATTACTATCCAACTCAATCCCACCCATAACCAGCCTCACCACCCCTCTACTCATCATCCCCATCCCCACCCCCATCCCACCCCGGCGGCGGCGCCGGAATACTAAAATCCTCCAAACTCGCCCACTGACTACTCCTATACCCCCCAACCGCCTGCGTCAACCCAAACATAGGACTACTCCACCCCTCCCCCTCCGCCGCGACCTTCTCCGGACTGGGGAAACTACTCGGAATAAACAACGGCGGCGGCTTACCCGGCGAGATATTCGGCTGAGAACTAGCGATGCGATGGGGTGTTGTGTGTGTGCTGGAGAAATGCTGGGCACGCTTCCGTCGGGGCGTGCGCTGCGTGATCTCATCCACGGTTGTGGCTTGAGAAGGGTGGTAGCCTGATGGTTGGTGGGTTGATTGGGGTGCTATGGGTTGGGGGAGGCGCGGCGTGTAGTTGTAGCTGAATGCGTCGGGGGCGGCGTGCATGCTTGAGGATTGCGGGGCTCGGGCGTTTATGTATTGGGAGTATGAGAACCATTCGTTGTGGAGCTGTTGTTCGGCTTTGCTGGAGTGGGACTGTTGGGTTTCGTGGTCGGGTGAGGGGGAACGGGGGACTTGTATGGATTCGCTGTCTAGATCTGCCGACTGGTGGATGTCTGTCGAGGTGGACTGCGGTATATGTACTTTGCTTGATCGTGGAGGCGTTGGGTCCGGTGCTGGTTCATCTTCTTCTTCTTCCGATGAATCGTCGTTGATGACCATCGGTGTGGATGGGCAGGTTTCTTGATTGAGGTCTTCGATGACTGGAGGGGTGGAGCGGAGCTGCTCTTCTGGTAAAGGTAATCCTCTTCCACTACTCGTGTTGGTCTCGCTCTTGATTGGTCTCTCTTCGTTTGACGGATCGAACGGGACTGTGGGCAGTATTGTTGCGTCGTCGTCTTCGTCATCCTCGTAATCGTCATCGTCATATACGGGCTCCTGCTTAACCGCAACGGACTCGGCTACAGTAGAGGACGATCTGCCACTCGACTGCTTTTGCGGGTCGCCAAGTTCGGGAGAAGGTTCTTGGTCACCGCGAAGCTCAGGTAGATCGCGTGATTCTTGTGATGATGCCAAATCCGCTATGACTTCTTCTCCGTTTGCATCAGCACATGCCTGGTCAATCCTGTCAAGTACTGCCTGAGTATCCGTGCCAACGGCCTTTCCAGTCGCAGCTTCAAGGCGCCCGGAAGAAGCTTGCGCAGTCCCACCTCCGCCACGTCCAATAGTAGGCAGGTCTTCTTCTATGACACCATCATCCTCGTCTTCGGAGTCTTGTATCGTACTCTCAAACTTCCTCAGTGTTGGTGGTGGTATGGGCGTTTTCGACGGCATCTTAAACGTCACCTGCTTACGTTTCGAAGGCGTCTCTGGTGCAAGAATCGAGTTATCCGAGCGCTGCTTGAGAGGGGATCGATGTAGCTTCTGTGGGGAGACCTGAGTCGATAGCGGCGAGTCGGCTGGTGATTGGGAGGAGGGAATCTCGCGAACACGGCGTTTCTCTGGAGTCGCTAGAAGGCTGAAGCGGGTTTTACGTGTCTTGGCCTGCCCTTGCGGCGCATAGAATGCTTCTTCCGTGTCTGCGACCCTTGGTCTGTTCCCTCGTCTCGTCGCGCGGGTCGTTCTTGTGACAGGCGCTTCGATGAACTGTGTGGGTTTGTAGCTGTCTTCGCAATCCTCGTCCATCTCGTCTTCCACTGACTGCACCACTAACTCCGGGGTATCTTGAGACTTCGTTGTGGGCTCTTTCTTTATGTGTTCGTCCTCTAGGCTCTGCTCCATGTCGTTTCCAGCTTCATTTGCACCGTTGTCCTCGCTAACGCCATTCCCCTCGACACGATAGAAGCCTTGTTGCGCCAGACGCTGCGCAACAGCATCGCCGTAGGTCTGACTAGCCCTCTCTTCTGCCTCGACATCGCTCAATATCTCGTCTAGATCCTCATCCGACATGATCTCTTGCGGTCGCATGCCGGGTATCATCTGCGTCAACGTGCGCTGCCTCCTGTCGCTCTTTGCTTCGCTTTTGCCACGTCCACCCCAACTCAGTCGCGAGCTCTGCTTCACGGGTTTGAAGCTGGGCTCTTCATCGTCTGGCAGAGGCTTCCTTCCGTCTACCAGTTGTGTCATTGTTGACTGTCGCCGTAATGTGCGCTCGCGGTTGGTCTTGGTAGCTGTCGCTTCGTTGTCGTCATCGGATTCGGCTTCGACGCGCCTCGAGCGGCGAGGGTTCTTCGGCGTGGCTGCCGTCCGTCGGCGTTTAGATGTAGGTTCCGATGTTTCCTTCTCTCCATCATCTTCCTGCTGCACCCCGTCACTGTTCCGCTTCTTTCCCTTCCTCTTCGTCTGCCTCACAGGCTGCTCTTCTTCTTCTTCTTCCTCCACCTCAGCCTTGATAGAAACTCCTCCGTCTTCCAGATCCTCTTCCAAATCCGTGTCGATATCCTCATCCGAGTCGGCGACAACAGGCGTACCCTGCCTCCTCATCTTGTCCGGCAGGAAGACCATTTGCCGCTTCCCATCGTGTACCGGAGTCGAGCGCCGGCGCACAGTCTTGCGCTTGTGTGGAAAGCGCACCTGCTGGGGCACTTTCTTGGAATAGTAGACCTTGTAGTCAGCGTCTTGGTTGCTCGAACGCGTCTTGGGCGTCATGGTGGGTGGGTGGAGCAATCGATAAGTTGGGGCGTTGGAGCGTTGGTCGACGCGACGCGTTGAGGGGACTAGCGCGTCGTCAAGGATGGCAGGGGTGTGCGTCATCACCACTCCCGCTCCTGCCGTGTCCGACTCACTCATGCACTGCTCGTCAACATCATACCTGAAGCATGCGAACTGTTGACTCAACTCATGCACAACCTCAAGTCTCAGTGAACTTACTGTCTCGCTACAATATCACCATGCGCAATGAGCTCACGGCCATCATACCTCATCATCGGGGCCGGAGTCTTCGGTGTCTCCACTGCCTACCACTTGATCAAGAAGTACCCCAATGCACACATACAACTCGTTGACCGAACACGATACCCCTGCCCTCTTGCTGCATCCTTGGACTGGAACAAAGTCATCCGTGCAGACTATGGCAACCTCTTCTACATGGAAAAGGCGTTGGAAGCCATACAGTACTGGCGACATGATCCACTCTTCAGGCAGTTCTACCATCAAAGCGGTATGATCAATATCGACAATACCGGCCTAGGTGGAGAGATCGTGAAGAACTATGAGAAGCTTGGTATCGAAGTCGATGCGGAGATGGTGAGCCCCGAACGGTTCAAAGAGATGTACGGTTCTTTCTACGATAACACCGATTTCTCCGAGGTTGGCGAAGTGTTCGTGAACAGAGACAGCGGGTGGGCTGAGGCTACTAAAGCCTTGACTGCTTACACTGACGCCGCGATCGAGGCAGGAGTCAAGTATACCGCAGCAGACATCGACGTGTTGACATTCGGTGCTGATGGAGAATGTACTGGAGTTCTAACAAAAGCTGGTGAAAACATCGCAGCAGATCGCATCATCCTGGCGACCGGTGCAGGCACAGCCAAACTCATCGCCGACAGTGCCCCGAGCAGAAAAGAGCTACAAATCGACGGACGTCTAGTAGCCGGAGCGGTCGTCACTGGCATCGTCAATCTCGACCCAAAGAATGGGCAGCAGTATACCGAGATTCCAGTCACAGTGCATTCCGTCCTACCAACACGAGGTCAGGCCACCAAATTCCACCCTTCATGCTCATACTAACGTGTTCCAGGGGAGGTAATGCCACTAACAGCGCCTTTGTCGGACCAAGATCCATACACCGTCAAGTTCTGCAGAGACGAAGCCTACAAGAACACCGTCAAACACGAAGCTTCCGGGCAAGAGTTCTCCTCTCCACCGAACGAGCCCGGTCAAGCGCAGAGGCAGCCGAACGAAGCTCTTAAGCAGCGGCTTGAACTAGTCAAGAACGGTATACTGGGCGAGTCCGGGAAGGACGTTAAATTCGACGAGTATTGTGTGTGCTGGTAAGCTGCGCGGCGCAACCACCACGACGGATCGGGCTAATAGTATCTAGGGATGCAGTGACACCAAGCCAAGACTTCATCATAACACCGCACCCGCATTGTCAGAATTTATATCTTGCGACAGGCGGCTCATTCCATGGATGGAAGTTCATGCCTTCGATTGGCCGCTATGTCGTAGAGATGCTGGATGGCACCCTAGATCCCTCTCTTGCCAAGCGGTGGGCGTGGGATCGTGAGAACGAAGGAGGCACACATGCTCATCTACTTCCAACGATCGAGTTACGAGACCTATGAGAATTGGGATGGTCTTTAGCGGGAGTGGTTATAATCCACGTCATATGCTACAAAATTATCATCAAGGCGCAAGTGTATGTTGCCCTGGGAGTAAGCTTACTTTTCAAACTCTTTTATCTTGCTGATCACCAAACACCTGCTTCCATACCCAGCAACTCCATCATAAACCGCTTGCACTTTTACCGAACAGCGTCACGTCTGCCTCACTCTGCACCCTCTCCACTCTCGCTACCATCCGCCATCTTGCTGTCCAGCACCAACCCCTCCTCTTGCGCCACCATCCCACCCTCCTGTTCCTCCCTCTCCCTCTCCCCCTCCCTCCCCACCACCTTACCAACCCCCTCCCTCCTCGCAACAACACCCCCACACCACCTAACCGCCTCATCCCAAACCCCCATCATCTCCCCATCATCAATCACCACCCCTCCCTTTCCATCCCCCTCCTCCCCTCCCATCCCATCCACACCCTTGACCAACTCCGGCAACCCCCCAACCACCAAGTCTCTGAAGAACCACCAACTCGGCAGAAAATTCAACTTCGCTAGCGCTGCGAGTTTGACGGGCGCGTACATGGCGCTGTACTGGCAGGCGCGTTGCAGCATGAGGCCGTGTTTGAAGGCGATTTGCCACATTGAGTGGGCTATGGCGTCGATGTGGGGGGATGTTATGGGTGTGGTGAGGTTGGAGGGGTTGGGGGGGAGGAGGGAGGGCTGGGTTTGGAGAACGTGGCGGAGGAGGTTGTTCATTAGCTGGGTAGATTGGGGGGTGGCAGACGGTGGTGCGGATGGGAACTGCGTGGTTGGCGCGGTGGAAGTAGGTTGGGACGGGGATGTTACTACGAGGTCTTGTGTGAGCTAAGGAAGTGTCAGTATGGAGTCCGCTTCGTGTACAGCCGGGTATGCTGTATTACGTGCCTCGTTCTTCATCCCCTCAATCTTCTGCTTCTTCGGCGGAGACTCGTTCCTAGCTTCTGGCCGAGCAGTACCCTTATCCGCTCCTAAAGGCTTGACCTGGAGATCAACCATCGTCGGTGAGACATTCTACAACATCGTCAGTCTCGCTCTTGAGAACATCCCTGGCGGCACGCCAACCTAGGGAAAAACTGAACAGCCTGGAGCCTACGTTGACGTTGGGTCCCCTACTTGGCAAGGTTTCAGGTCAACGTAGTCTGCAGACCTGTTCAGTTTTTTTCTTAAATGAGGTAGCGGTTCATCTCACCTCGGCCTTGATCTTCCTCTTATTGTCCACCATAACCGTCGGCTTCACAGCAGAGATTTTACGCTGCTGCTGCAGTTTTGGAACGGCTTGGGAAACGGATGTTTTGCGCTGCTGCTGGGACTTTGCGGGGACTTTGGGGCCTGGTGTGGGAGTGATGGGGCTCTGTCATCGTTAGTATCCTGCTTGTGGTTGTTCATGCTATGAAAGCCCAACTCACTTTCCTCGCTGTAGGAGCCTTCGGGTTGATAGCCATAGTGACACCCGGCATCTTTTAGGCACGATGGTGTTGTAGTCGAAGAAGATGGTGAGAAGCTTGGTAAGACGCGTAGAGGACGTGAAAGATTGGCGTGGTAAGCGTGTTGTTTGCGAGAGGCGGTTTGAACAAGAGAGGCGTGGTGAAATAGCGTGGTGTCAAGCATGGAAACGCGTGGTGAACGTGAGGGTGAGTGCGGACTAGTAAGACAAGCTGGGGTGAGTGACCACAAAGGGACGAGACGTGAGGTAGCCTTGACGTCGTGGTGGCCTCAAATGCAGTATAAGCTGTTTGCTTGACGTCGTGCCCAGCAACTTAAGGTCACCATCACTTGTCGAGGTGAGAGAGCGGACGCTATGATGTCTTGATGATGGGAACGAAGAGGAAGAGGCAAAGGTAGGTCTAGGAAGACGGCATCAGCTTGCGATTGCATTGGATCACGACATTCTGCTGTTACGTAGTTCAGATGATGGAGAGAGTATGAAGACATGGGATGGTCTGGAGGACCTTTTTGATATGATTAGCGAGGGCCAAAGAATATACCAAAGGACGACCCGATGAAGCAGACTTTATTCAAAGCTCCCGAGGCTGTGCTATGCAAACTGCTGTGGTGTATGATTCCAAGAACGCCGCCCATTCATCGCCATATGCAAGACTTTCCAAGGTCCACCTTAGGCACGGTCAGCAGTACTAAGCCCGCCCACGTGCCCGTGTCGTGCGTGTTTTAGGCTTTGCTTTCGACTTCTTAGGCGCCGGCACTTCCTCTTCCTCATCCTCAGAATCACCAATATCCTCCTCCCCGTCAAGATCCATCTCCTCCTCCTCACTCTCATCCTTAGCCTTCTTTTTTGAACCACCACTCTTCTTCTGCTTCTTGCGATTGGCTTCAAATGCCTCTTCCGATGGCTCCTCCATGGGCGTCGAACGCTTTGAGCCTCGTGACTTGGGCGCGTACTTGGCCTCCAGTGAGTCAAAGAAGTTTCCTGCTCGTGACTTCTGGCGCTGTTGGATCAGAGCGGCTAGGCCTGCCATGTCGTCTGTGCCGCTCTTCTTGCCTTTTGGCTTCGCCTTGGCTTTGGCCTTGCCGTTTGAGGCTCCCGACTCTTCTTTCTGGGCCTGCTTCTTGTCGAAGTCTTCACGTCTCTTCTTCTCGGCGTCCTTGGCTTTTTGACGCGTCTCATCCGTTTCCGCCTCGTACGCGGGGTATGAGCTGACTGTGCCGTTCTCGATCTCCTCGTCTAAGATCTTCCTGAATCGATCGTCGTCTTCGAGGATGTCGGACAGCATGACCAGGTCGTACACCTTATTCAGGTTACCCTTGACCTTCTTAAACGCCTTGACCAAATCGCGACGCTCCTCATCGCTGCCCTTGTATTCATTCGCGACGTTATTGATAGCCTCCTCATTGACGACGTTCTCAAACTGCTCGCGGTAGAACTTCAGCCAGTTGAAGTCATCGTCATCCTCCATTGTCTCGGCTGTGCTCCCAGTAAGGTCATAGCGTCGGCGTCGGCGATCGTCGGAGAGTACGGCGTATGCGAATGCGATCTCTTGGAAGGCCTTGTTGGCGGCTTCCTTCTCGTCGGGTGCAGCCTTGTCTGGTCATAGTCAGCAATGCAACATGTAGTGTGTACTAAGGGCACTGACCTGGATGGCATTTGAGCGCCATTTTGCGGTATGCCTTCTTCACATCGTCGGCAGTGGCTTCTGTCTCGAGTCCAAGAACCTCATACGGGTCGATGCTGGGAGGGCCATCTTCTTCGTCCATGTCGTTCTCGCCTTCGCTCTCATTGTTGTTTAAAAAGTCATCCTCCGCAGATTCCTCGGGATACGGCTCTTTTCTCTGTCTTCGTGCCATGTTGTAGTGTTGTGTTATGGATATGGAGGATGTGTGACCACTGACGGTCGACGCCTGCGTGAGAACGCGACGCGACCGTGAGCCCGGACTTAACGGAGCTAGCGCGCCAGACCCACCTTTCCCCAATCACCACCGGCCAGAACGCCAATTACATCACCTTCACTTTCCTCCTTCACCAACATGCAAGTCGACTACGACACAGGTCCCGTGCGAACATGGGACGGCCCGGTGCCCCCAGCCCAAGGCCCAGACCCCAACGACCCCCTCCAATACATGCGCCTGGCCCTTGACCAAGCCCAAGAATCACCCCCAAAGCCTTCAAATTTCCGTGTCGGCGCCCTGTTAGTCGACGCAGATACCGGAGACATACTCTCGCGTGGCTACACTCTAGAATGCGAAGGAAACACGCATGCGGAGCAATGTTGTCTCTTAAAGCTTGCTCAAGCATACGGCTTGCCTGAAGAGAGGGTCGGGGAAGCATTACCATCAAACACCGTCATCTACACCACCATGGAGCCTTGTAATCTTCGGCTTAGTGGTAACCTTCCATGCGCGGATCGGCTCATTCGAACGAGAGGGAAAGACGGAGAGCAGAAGATCAAGAAGGTGTATCTTGGCGTCAAAGAGCCGGAGAAATTTGTAGGCGAAAATGCGGGACGGAAGAAGCTAGAGGAACACGGCATTGAGTGCGTTCATGTTCCGGGGTTGGAAGAAAAGATATTAAGCGTTGCGACTGCAGGTCATGAACAGTAGCAACATTGATATGGGATCGATAACAAGATAACACAGAATTTGGTGCTCAAAAAGGTGCGCTCAGGGCGCAATCTGTACACCATTCGTTTCAACTGCTATTCTGCCTCTCCATATCCGTATATAGGTGTCGCTCTTCTGATCTCAATACCTCCAACTCCATGTCCTCCGCCTGCGTCCATTTCCACCGATCCTTCCCCTTCGCTTTGCCCGTAATCCTCATCTTCAGTTTCATTTCGTATTTGAACCGCCTCCATTTGGTCCTACGGATCTCCGACTTCTTGATTCCGTCTTCTGTCGGATAATCGGTCTTCTTGGGAGCTTCCGGTTGTGTCGCGCTTACAGATGCGTTCTGTGCTGCCTCCATGGTCTGCTGGTCCGCTGCATCATATTCGACAGCCATAGGGCTGACGGCCAGTAATGCGATGAACAGAGATGCGAATCTGCTTTCTCGTTTTGTGACCGGCTCTGGTCTTGGAAGGTTTGCAGTCGTTTCGTTGTTCGAGGTTATTGGCACGTCGTCGAACGTGGTGCTCTGCCCCGACGCCTGATCACTCCAAGGTTGCGACCTCAAGGTAATTGGCGTTACCAGTGCGCTAGTCCTGCCATTTTGCTGCCCTGTTTGTTCCGAAAAGTGTCGATTCTCGAAAGCTGCCGCTGATGAGGAGCTGCCAGCGATGTCAGGCGCTCGTCTGAGGAGTAACGTCATATCGCGCTTTGCCGCATGGAAGTAAAATGCCTAACCAGAAGAGGCGGTTGGATAAGAAGTGATGAGATAATAATAGACTTGGTGATAAGGCGTGTAAATCACAGCAATTCAAGATAAACGAAGATGAAAGTGCACGCTGGCGGACAGTTTTCATGCCTCACCAACCTACACCATTCTCACCGACTTTGCACACCTAGGTAGTCGCCCATCTCATCAGTCATTCTAAAAAGAGACTACTTTTCGTGAAGTGTTCCACCAGCTGTCGGGCCAAATGCTATTGGGACGAAAGGCTTACATCTCTTGGAAGGTGCGGCTGAAGATCCCTGTCAACAATGACCCGACGTATTCATCCCGGTGACAACCACAGAGCAGCTTTAATATACACGCAGGCGAAGTTGAGGCCCATCTAGATATCGCATGATGTCCTCATCTATGAGAAACCTTTCACGTGATGGGCTAGGCGACGTTGGCTGATCTTGACGCCTCGAAGACCCCACAGTCGGTTCGTGATCGAAAGCAGCAGTAAGAGCCTAGCTTCCGCTGCCTTGTACCCTCTGATACCTAATGTGTACGCGTGCTGGCTTTACTAATGGCGCACTTGGAGGGGCCCGGGGGTATGGACGATTTCGAGGTTGTTAGGAAGTTCAGACGGCGCGTGGTAATAGTCCAGGCACCCGCAATCGACGGCTTTCGAAAAGTTACCCGATTCGGACTACGCCAAGCAGCCCGCAACATCAACCATCTCCTTTGCAGAGAAGGTTCTTAACTATTAAGCAGAATATACACAAAGTTCAACATCTACATTCACGTTCACAACCGGCTCTCGGGACAACCTAGCCCCTACCCCGCTACCTAGGTAAGGGCTCGCGTACCTCGACCCCCGACGCGCGAAGGGATCGCCCGCGAATCTCACCTAGGAACCACCATTGCGTCATGACTTATTCGCATCGACCAAAATGCCACCACCTCCATCGATCACCACACAAATTGCGTAACCCTGACCGTTTTGTACCACCTTTCTCATGATGACGCGTGCCAAAATCATGCAATTGGATAGCAGCCTAGAAAGCAACAAAACGCCTCGTGAGGCAAGTACATAGCCATATAATAGCCCATCCATCCAGTACTCTCCCTCAAGACTTTCTTACAATGACATCTTACCTCCGCCCATTCGCAACTCAAACATACAACCAGACACTGCGTACTTTCACCAAACCAGCCTTCTCATCCCAGGTATCAAGAATCACAGCCGCGAAAATGTCATCCGCCCCCTCAAACCTCAACATCGAGACCAAAAACGTCCAAACCGCCCCCGGCGTCACCCTCTCAGAGCAACAAAACACCATCGTAGGCTCCGTCCTCGACCTCTTCGCCGGCCGCCCCTCGCTGCCCAAGCTGCAGCTCTGGCGCGACGACGCCACTTTCACGGACCCCATCACCATCGCCGAGGGACGTGAGAAGTACTCTGCGCAATGGTACGGACTGCAGAGTGCGTTTAGCGAGATTGAGAGGCTTAACCACCAGGTTAAGGATGCGGGGAACCCGATACTCATGGATTTGAGGACGAGATATGTTATCAAGGGGTTGAATAAGGAGCAGTTGATTCAGAGTGTTGTTGCTATTCATTTGGATGAGCAGGGTAAGATTAAGAAGGTGGAGGATAAGTGGGATGGCAAGTTGCCGGATAGCAGTATTGCGAACGTAAGTTGTCCTACCTTACTCGCTCGGTTCATGTTCGATACTAATGATTTGCACAGGCCTTCCGTCACTTGAACGCTGTCACGGTACCCAAGTTCGTGGGTGTACCAAAGAACGACGAGGAAGATGCGAAGAGGGGAAACCAGTAGTTTTATCGTTATATATCGAGTAATCTAGCGCCGCGTACAATATCGTACCGCGTAACTCGTAATTCATAAAATCATTACAACATGTATCGTCTCTCATAACGCGGCATTGAACATTCTTCCAAGCGCTATATGCAGGAACAGCACAACTGCGCCGGCGCCTACACTCAGCACTTTCAGACTCGGTGCGCCTGCAACGATCAATATCGTGCCGCATCCTCCTTGCTCCGCTCTCGGTAGGTCGGGCCCGTCCATTGTGATAGTCGCGCAGAAGCCGCCTTGTACCTGGTCCGGGTTGTGGTATACGGTCGTTTGAGGAGGTGGTTGAGCGTACACGACAGCCGTTTGCTGCTGGGGATATACGGTCACGGTCGTGACTTGTGCGACGTTTACTGCACCTCCGCATTGGTTTCCGCTTGGGCAGCAGCCGATCAATCCGTTGGAGTTGCCGGGAACGGCGCATGTGTAGCCTGATGGACAGCACCTGGGTTTGATCAGCAAGAGCCATGCCGTCTCTCAAAATTCCTACTCACCAACTTGGTTGGTTGACGTTGCTGCAGCTTACTGAAGCTGACGAAGGACACCAATTTGCGTCTTGCGCTACGACTTGCTGTCCGTCTGGATTTACAATGTACACAGCGCCAGAGAAGGGCGCATTGTTCGAGATCTGCTGTGGTATAGCCTCAGGCTTTGCGATCGGTTCCGCGACACATAATGTCAATGTCGCAGCGACGAGACTCCATGGCGCAAATGATCTCATCGCGTTGAAAGTCGCCGAGGCTGTCAGAAGAAGAAGCCGGGTAGTAGAACGAAAGTCCGCGACAACGAACGTGTTGAAAGCGAAGAAAAAGCTGCGGGGTTAGTATGCGACGAAAAGGCACAGCCTCGAAAAGATGAGAGATCAAAATCAGCAGTCGTCGGGCGCATACCGGGCTGCTACCCTGCCCTTAAGTCTGACCGGAATACCTTGGAAGCTCTCAATCGAGAGCTGGGAATAGCTCCAAGCTTGCTGCAGGTTGGGCTAGCTCGTCATGGACAGCTTCATGCCGGCTTAGCGGGGAGTCGCACTATTGGTAGCCTCGACGGCACCGAAGTCTAGTTCGCGGTAGAGTGGTCCCACTTGGCTGCTTTTTGCGATAGACCATTGTCGGGCATGATGGCAAAACGGCGGTGTTGAGGTGTGATGGGGCTACAGGTGGCCGGGTGGACCTGGTAGGATGCTTGCTGCCCATCCTGTATACGATGCATTTGCTGGCAGCGGGGCGGAGGGTTAGAGATACAGTTTGCTAGAGTGAAGGCCTTGATTGTTCCCTGCAATGCAATCAAGCCACAGTTCTTGGGAGCGGCTGCATCGGATGGCATCGCGTGGTGAGGTGCATGCAGATAGTGAACGCAAAGCGCCGATCTTCCGATGCGCTCGCATTGGGTTAGCTGGCTTGGCATGAATGGCCACGTGACACCGTAGAGCAGTGGCGATGAGACGCGTCGCGTTTCTTTGTTTCCATCCCACCTTGTGCACCAGCAACACAATATGACATGTCAACGGATCCGCCACCGCGTCCTTATCGGCTATACCCCGCCTATTGTTTCAGAACATCACCTACATACAATATCTGGGTGAAGCTCACTGCTGCAGATGTGCAAGCTCTTCGGTCTGAGAAAGACTTCCAAGGTAGCAGCCATTCTAATGAGTGCTACGACTATTGCTGACACGTGAAAAGCCCAGCGCATTTATTTCCATCTTAATCACCCTATCCGCTATGTCCGCATTGTCGGCGTCGTCGTAGCGATCGATGACATCAACCTCAAATACACGGCTCTCACTATCGACGACGGAAGCGGCGCGACCATCGAGCTAAAGATCGTACGATTACCTACTGCCGAGCAGAACCCGGTCGATACGTCCTCCGACACGAAGATCAAGAACCTGAACATCGTCAGTCGATTCGGCATCTTCGACGTCGTCGTGGACGGCGAAGCCCTAGACATTGGCACAGTTGTAAAGGCAAAGTGCCTCATATCCGAGTTCAGGGGCGCAAAGCAACTGGACTTGCAGCGCATTCAGATTGTCAAAACGACCAACGAAGAATCACAAGCTTGGGCCGAGACTGCTGCATTCAAGCAAGCAGTCTTGTCGCGACCATGGCGTATAACGTCAGCCGAGCACAAGAAGATAAAGCATGCGATCAAAGCGGAAAAGAAGAAAGAACAGGATAATGAGCGACTGCAGGCGGAATACAAAGTCAAGAAAGAGGAGCGAAGGCTGGCGAAGGAGGCATACCTTGCGCAGAGGGAAAAGAAGCTTGAGGCACGACGGAGGAAGGAGGAGGTCATGCTGAATAGCGGTGCCTTGATATGAGCTGCTGGTCTGCTCCTAGATGGGTGCCTGTCAGCGTGCCAACGCTGTTTGATCGGTGCGGGGTTTGTTGGTGGCGCAGCACGTAGTTTCAGCCTGATCGCCTGCCATGAGTGCCTTCATCTCTTCTTATCTTACTACCCTACACGCGCACTTATACCAGTTGCCCACGATCTCGATTCGTTCGGTATCGCCTGGTCGCTCCAGAGCGATCGCACAAGGTCATGGACAACGCCATCGATTTCCCCCCTCAATCAGACGAACCCTCACACGAATCTCTCGGTCAGGCTGATGGCCTCCCCACATCCCTCGACGCGCCCATCACACTCCCGTACGATCGCATAACACAAGATCGCCACATTCGAGTCATCGACTTAGCTCCCGGCAGCTGGGACGAGCCAGTCGTCTGCTCCTTGCGGGAGGTCCATTTAGATGACGACGACCTTCGCTACGAAGCCATCTCCTATGCTTGGGGTGACCCCAAAGATCGCAAAACTGTCGTTTGCAACGGACATGTCGTCAGCACCACCCGCAGTCTGTTCGAGGCTTTGCAGCGCTTCCGATGCGCCGATACTACGAGGACGCTTTGGGCCGATGCGCTATGCATAAACCAGGCCGATAACGACGAAAGAACCTCACAGGTGCGGCTGATGAGCTTCATTTATACGAAAGCTGTTCGCGTGCTTGTGTGGCTGCAACATGAAGATGACCAAGTGGTCCAGAATGCTTTGAACGCCATATGCCGATATGTACTCCGATCAGTTGACAAAGGATACTTTCCGCAAATTGTGAAGCATTTACAGTACTCGCAGATGCTATACAAATGGCGTGGTGTGACGGTAACCAGCGTCAGCGGCGATGATCCACCAGATCTTGATCTTGCCGCGATCAACGCTTTGTGTTACATATGCTCCTCAAGGTGGTTTAGCCGTGGATGGGTCATTCAGGAAGTCGCGTTAGGCACCTCGGCTTCTGTGTTTTGGGGGCACGCTGAGATCGGCTTTGTCTGGTTAGGGCTTGCGGCTCTAGCTGGCGTGGCTTCATTCTCAAATGTTTCCACTAGCGCCATGAGGCATTGCTATTTTGTCTTCGAACTGTGTCCGTCGTTCAGCACGTTCTACCCTCAGCGGAAATCATGTTTCTCTCTACTTCAGTCAACCATGCATGCCACTTTCAGTGACCCCAGAGATAGAATCTATGGCCTGCTTGGGCTGAAGACAATCGAGTACGATCCTGCGGATGGTCGATTATTGGTAGATCCCGATTACGGCATTACGACCATGGAATGCTATCGTAGGGTGGCAAGAAAACTACTACTTCAGTGGCATGATCTCAGAGTGCTGGGCTGGGCTGGATGCAGTTCTACATTGGTCGAAAATTGGCCATCGTGGGTGCCAGATTGGAAGAGCCCGCGGCTTAGTTTCTTCGGGCCCCTGCTTGACCATCAATGGAGGGACATTGGGATATCGAACTTCACAACAATATCAGAAATATTCAAAAGTGGGAGAAGCTGTGTTCAAATCTCCGGTTTTAGAGTCGATGTCGCAGACCGGACGGTCAATGAATGTGCGGGCTTCACAGAGCTTGGAGATGTATCTTCCGGACCCAGACGCCTACAAGCCATACTCCGCTCTTTGGCTCATGGATACAGTCAAAAACATCTTGCCTATACATTTGGAAACCGGTCCAGATATCTACCACTGTCTTCTACTCGTACTGCGAACCTTCTGGCCGAATACCACACGTTCATGAACAAGGATTTTACGCAAGGCATACACCAGCCTGTGCCGCTGGAGCTGTCGGATGAAGATCATCAATTCTCTCCCTTCTTACCAAATGGGGATAGTTTCTTCGAACAATTCCTACTTCATAAAACAGGTCATACCCTTCTCATCACCAGCACCGGGATGCTAGTTCTCGGGCCCGACCAAATGCTCCCCCGCGATGTCGCGGTCGTACTACACGGTTATCCCATACCTTTCATCCTGAGACCTGCGAGCGATGGCCTCTGGAGACTTGTAGGAGAATGCTATGTTTACGACGTGAACGAGGGCCGCATTCATAGAGAATGGGAAGAGAAAGGTAGCGTGTCGGAGAAGTTCTGCATTTACTAGACCGCCGGTACCAGACAAACCTACTACTGCGCCTGCCCAACGCTCAATCGACCTCATTCTCCGAGTATACAGACTATGCTCTTTCCATACAGTGGGCATCTGGTGGCGATAGTCTAGGCGTGTCGCTACCACAAAACCGTCAACATGTAGCAATCGCAGACCTCTTCAATTGCATCGACAACGCCCAACGCAGCTCATTACGTTCGGTACAAGAGCTCAAAAGAGCAGCGCAAAATCAGAAGATGACACAGGCCTTGAGCGCGTTGGTTGAGCTGTGACGTGGGAAGCTCAGGATGATGGGACGGGAGTGAGTTGCTACATGGTTTACCAATAGGACTATCGAGATCGAATTCCACAATAAACACAAAGAGCATCTTTCCCACGCCCAGTACAGTTCCGCAAACATTCTTCGCTTGCGACGTCTCGTCCAACAATATACTCGGAGGGCCTTCGTGACAAAGAGGCGGGTCGTGCGCAGTTCCAATCCCAACACAGTCTCGACGTCGACCAACACAGACTCGAAACTTCCGTCGCAGCGCGATGTCATTACGATAACCATCACATGCTGCGATCTGCTGCCCCGAAGAACGCTATCTTATCGACTACACGACCAATGTAGTGCGGTGCTTGTCCGCATGTGGAGGAACGTTAGGCTCCTCGTTACCTTCATTGTGACCACGGAGGTCAGTGCGATCTTTCGTATATACGCCATCTCGTAATTAATGCCTGGCGCCTATATTGCCCTTGTCAAATAGTCAACTCCTCGATCGTATTTTCTTGTCCCCCCTCTTCTGGTGTACGAGTACTTGAGAAGTCCATGTTTAGCGCGCAACCGCTTACAGGACAGACGAGTCCGCCGCACACTACCTTCTCCAGTACATCACGATTCGCTTCTCCCACAAAATGTACGGCTGCGATGAATACTTCGACGAACACTTCGACGACAAACTCATTGGTCGCATCTACCGACTCCGCCATGACCCGAGTCGCATGTTCTCAGTCTGCCTATCGCCCCCTCCGTCATCAAAGCTGTACCTCACCTCGGATCAATACAAGTGGAAAATGAGGGTACTGCCACCGCAGAAAAACGATCAAATGCTGCAAGTTATCAAGAAGACGATCGCCGAGTTGAACAAGCAGTACATGCTCTTCTGGCGCATTGGTTTAGAAGTGTCGCATTTGACGATGAGTCCTCCCCTGTGGCCCCGTCATTTGGAGGAGTACTCGACGAAGCTGTACGCTTTCAAGGAAAAGGATCGAGAGTTTCCGATGGCTGTTGAGGCAACACTATCGAGAGGCTGTCGCCGTTTGACCGCGGAGACCATTCTGGTACGCGAGAAAGACGACATGAACGGACCTAAACCTGGCATGCCGCTAAAGACATGGCTTCTGTTCCTGGTCAATTCTCGGGATAGCCTGGGTGAAGCTGGTTGGCAGCTTCAGCGGGGGTGGTGGGCATCGAACGACCAGGACTTCTCCATCATGACCTTGCCTGCCGAGATACGTTGCGAGATTCTCCGGCAAATCTTGGGTGGCAATATCTATCCTGTCGCCAGAGAAAATCCGAATGTGTCAGGGCCTGTGGTCTTTCTGGGAGCCAAGAGCGGGAATATGCCTGTATCTCATTGGCCTGAAGTCCCACCGGCTTCTCGGCCAGATCCACCCAACTATGCCATCCTTCGAGCCAGCAAACAGATCTACGGTGAGGGCCTGAAAGCGGCGTGGGAGGGTACAACAAAGCACTTTGCAGATGGACTTTGGCTGGAGAAAGTGCTGGAAGCACCAATTGCTCCATCTAACTATCGCTGGCTCACTCATATCCAACTCTCTTTGAGTACAAAAGAATGCTTCCGATTTTTCGGGATTGACATTCACCCCGTCCTTCGATTGCCGCCGCTTGTACCAAAAGCTCGCTTGCTGCAAGGAATCGCTACCCTTAATAACCTCGAAATCGTATTTGGATCACCATACGTTCCCTATTCAAACCCTTGGTTTTCTTTTCCCAATCGCCCGCCAACCATAATGAAGTATCCGTGTCATAAGATCATGGTCGAGTGGGCGCTGATCTTCGCCTTTCCATACCTCAAGCACATCCCGAATGTTCGGCTCGCAGGCTGTATCAAGACCTGCACAAAATCGAAATGGGAACATATCCTAAGCAATGAGTACTACTTGCGGAAAGAGAGCTTCAAGACTCACGGATACGACCCTGCTATGGAGGCTTATGAGCTGTTAGAAGAACAGCGCCCTATGCACCGGCAAGTGTGAATTCGACTGGTTTCTGACGCTCCTTGGACTGACCGACTGTGATAGGCCACCGATATGCTTGTGCCCCGCTCCTTGCTCACTGGGACACCGTCCGACAGGTCTGAAAGGCTTTGACTATGACGACTCATACGTGCCGCCTCCACCACGGAGACCGCCGCCGCCACCGCCGCCGCCGAAGAAGAGTGCGCCAGTTCGGCCCGGCCAACTCTGGTCAAAGGTTCACGTGGTATGTCTACGAGCTCTTTCGTGAGAAAAAGCTTTACTGATATCATTGTAGACTGTCCAAGACGTACGGGACGACTGATCTCGTATCTCACTGGCTTCTTGTGATAGTGAAGCACCAAGATAGCGCAACATGCATTGGGTGGGTTTTCACGTTGCACCTTATCCGATGCTTTCGAGCGATGCGTATTCCTCTCTGTATCTTGTTGTTGGCCTGTGTTAGTCAGCGCAGGCTGGGAAGCTGACGGTGCGGGGAATGGCACGAAGGATTGCCCAGGTGCGCAAGTTACGTTACCCGGTACATGGCCCATGGGAAGGCGTACAGCTCGTGATTGTTCGATACGAAATTCTACCTCTTTATCCAGTGTATCTTGTCACATGCTGAGATGTATTCCGGAGAAGTGTTGGGGAGGTTCCGAGATCGCTTCACTGGGGTTGCTGGATCAGGCGAGTAGGTTCACGTGGAAAGTAGGAGAAGCTGCGAATGATTAATCGCAGCAAACACCAGCATGCTTAATAGCTGCGCGCACGACCAGATCTTACAGTAAGAAGTCGGTCTAACGAGAAATCATGAGCGACGCAGCCAAGGCATTGACGATAAAACTAAGGAACGAGTTGGGAAACCTGCCACCATGGAAGATCGCAACAACGCAGGAATGCATGGACAAAGGCGAAACGACATGGTTGATCAAGAAAAAATATTGCGGCCAGGCTGCCGAATACAATCAGTTCCGTCCACTCGCTCGTTCGGTACATCGGCAATGCAGAAGAGAGATTGGCAAATTCCCGGATATCACGGTCGACGTTATCAAAGGGTGGATTGCAGAGAAGTACTGGGATGATACTGAGGTGAAAGCTGAGTACCAACGGCAGTTTTACAAGGCGCATCCCGAGATACGTCGGGCAAAGAAGTTACTGGCTGAGTTGAGACGTGATCTAGGAGATTGCCACCTGGTCGACGAACAAAACGTGCTCAAGTGGGTCAAGAAAAACTTAACGGACAAGCGCGTCGAAGACAAGTATAGAAGCGCTCTTGACAGGGCTGGTCCTCTCAACCGTGCGGAGGCCTTGCGGTATCGCTTAGAAGACGAGGGGTCGGACGAGCTGGTCGTATCGAATGCTGTCATACTGGAGGAATGTCGTGACAATTCAAACGACACCGCCGTTGTGGACGCCATTCTGATGAAATTCGACGCTGGTCAGGGAGAAGATGCAGGTGGTGTACAGGAGGAAGGTGCTCAGGAGGGGTAAATCAGAGTAGTCGGAAGACATGAGAGAACATCAGTAGCAGCTAGGCAACCTTTTAGCGGAGTGAATATTGCAGAATTATGGCTGTATTTGATCAAAACTCTTTAGCTATACCTTGATCGGACTAGCGCACAACGCCCATTACTGCGATGTGTATCCCATAGAAAATACAGTCTATCGCCTGCGTGACGGTATTGTAACATTGCCCTTACATTGCAGGACAGCGCGCTGCTTTGAAAGACGGTACGCATACTAACGTCTCCTACTCTCCGTCAATATTTGGCCTCAAAACCACCCTGCGACTGGCTCTCAATCCTCGAAGTCAGAGTAAGACATTACAAATCGCGCGCCATGGCCGACAATGGCAGCACTTCCGATAAATCCATGGTCACGCGTGTTGCGCTAGGAGACTGGAGCAGGGACGAATGTCTATACATCCAACTGCATAGCGAACTGCTCCTTGCCGTCGCGCACCTACCTGCCGCGCCTTTCCATTCGATCAACGACATTTCTCAGTATGTTGGCTACTGTCAGTACTTCGCTCTTCCGGACGCCGCGACCAGTGACTCTCCAGATGAGACAGGCAGCGGTGTGGTAAAAAGCATCAACACCTTCACTGCCAAGCGGGACGAGCTGTCTGGATGGGTCATGTGGGCTCTTCAGGCGACGAAGATAAAAGCTACCTTCGACAAGAAGTTCCACGACGTCAAAGTAACGCCGGCCATGCTTCGGGAGTACCGCGAGATACGCGAGCGAATGGGCTTCGATACATACATACACGACCCAAAGTTGTACCCCGCGCTTTGGTCGTTCCTCGAAGACGCTGCTCGCAGCCAGTTCCCTGAGTTCAACAGAGACACTACACAACCCGAAATCACACGAGACGTCGACAACGACAGTAGCGCTTACCCCGTGACCAAATCCGGACCTGTCAACGACCAGGCGAACACATCAGACCAGGAACTGATGGACGAGGACGACATATCTGCTGCGGGCGACGACGTGAACTCCGGAGCGAGCGATGAGGAAGACCAAGCAGAGCCTGGAGGCTTCGCGCAGGGTCAGGTCCGCGCTAGGTGTACAGGCACCAACAATGACGGAACGGCCTGTCAGCGAAGAAGTCTAGATATTGAAGAGAAGGATCGTGCGAGTTGGCGATGCCATCTCCATGATCCGGAGAAGAAGAAGATCACAGCCGCTGCTCGCGCGGCAAGGAACGCAGCGAAAAAACTAGCTGCGGTGTCAGAGTCCAAGAAGCAGAAAGGTAGTAGCAAGGGAGGGGAGGGAGAAGATGCGAAGGCAGGCGGAAAACGCGCTCGGAAGCCTGTAGCAGTGGGTGAAGATGGAGCAGGTCGTGCATCCAACAAGCGCTCAAAGTAAGCGCCATCATATCGAGAATGGTATATCCACGGATGTCGGCAGAGCAGGCCCCCAAGCCGCTTCATACACATCGGTAAAGAAAGTTTGGATTGAGGGCGGATATAAGTCAAGGGCAAAACGGGCAGTCAAGATATTGGCGGCGCATCAAGTCTGTCGTCTGGTACGGTGGAGATGGATATACCGAGGCGCCATTAGTACACCAGGAGCTTTGCGGAAGCATTCCGGCTTCGTCGTGTCGACCGGCTTGCGGTCCTAGTAGCAGGTCCTGTATAAGAATCAAACGAGTCATTGAAATGTCTGCAATCGAGCCTTCTCGTAAGATCACCTGTCGCTATATGGCAGAGTTGTCAGCCGTTGGATATGCAATTTGGGCCTGTCTGCGATTTGTTAGGGCGGCGAGCGATGAATGATGAGATGCGCGGGTGATGGGCGTGGGCGAAGGCTGGTGAGGAAATGAGGACAAGTTTGCAGCACGCTATGACATCATCACTATTTAATGTTTCCGACGCGTCCGCGACGCGACAGCAACTCCGATCCCACTCTCCAACGGCATCAGCGCAGCCCCGAGATGACATTCCCGCCGCCTCTCCATTTTCTCTTCTTTGCCATCTCGGTTTCCTTGATTGTATCTTTAGTACCCCTTCAAGCTTTCCACTCCTCTCGAAAACATTCCCGTCTCGACTCTCCTTTCGAAGCCCCGTAGTACCTCGCCTTCGCATGGTACTGGCCAGACAAAGCCTCGTGAATACGGACGCCTGTAGAGTTTCCCTTGGCATGTACATGACGACTTCCCTGCAAGATGACCGTTTCGGGATCCTCGTAGTGATCTTCCGCAAGCTTGGACTCATGATCCAGGCCAGCACGACTTCTTTGTAGCAGTAGCCCTGCAATGAACTTGTGGTACTTCGTATCTTGGACATTATGCATGCGATCCATAAGTTTTCGATCCATATACCAGGTCTTCTTGCGCACCGCAGTACCGGCTTGCAGGGAAATGCTACCAATCCGTTCCCAATATTTGGTCGTCCTATGTGCAAGGAGTGACACGGGTTGTGTATCCGTATATTCTACCAGATTAACATATCCGAGGCAGTCACTTTTGATAGCCATTGCTATGCAGAAGTTCGCAAGTTCTTGTCCGCCATCAGAAAGGATCCGTTCCAGCTTCTCCAAAGCATTGTCGCCTTTGAGACCCTCACCAGAGCGCGCAAATGCTGGGCTTTCTTTAGCGGTGACTTCGATGTTGACTTTGTTGATTAAGGTCTTGCAGTCGTTGCGTTCAAATCTATACATGACTGCGCTAACAGCATCATCCAACAGGCGACCGACTTTCGAACGATCCTTATAGGTCATGACCCATCCCCAGGCCCACAAGTCGTTTAAATCAAACAAGATGTCGAATCTGTCGAGATTGGTGGCATCGGCAACGGGTGTGTCGACCCATCGCAGGCGAGGCTCCAGACGTAAACCATGTTTGCGAGTTTCCGTCCTATGAATAACGATTCGGAGCGCATATCGTAACCCCACACGAAGCGAAGTTGAGCGCTGGAGAACCTCGGCACGGAGCTGACGTGAGGCCTGACACAGGCCAGCAGCGTGGTGCTTGACGGGGCGAGGAAAGGCGGACGACCGAGGTTGATAGAGTTCAGTTGGCTCGTAAATGTCGAATTCGGATACATCCGCCGGCTGCGGGTTGTGCGTAAGTAGCAGGAGATCGACGATCTCATCGCGAAGCTCTCGGGGCAGGGTGAGTAAGGAAGCCATGGCTGCACAGTCTGACCGAAGATGGGGCCAGCACTACATTTATAGAGAGTCGAAGATGCGGAATTTTTGAATTCAGGCTGCTTCATTGGAGTACCAAGAGTTGCAATGCTAACAATGACTCGTAGGTAGCAGCCCCCTAGCGAGCCACTCACAGCCATCGCATTTCAGACGCAACCAATATACGAAGAGCTCAAAGAGACATCCAGGGCTTTTTTTTCGCAAGGGTCGACTTCAGTGTGTGGCACTGTGGGGCGAAGTTACCATGGTACCGCCAAAGTCTTCTTAAGCCTCCATCTCTTCCGACGTTTTCTCCCACGTCCCCCCAAGAATATATCGGTTAAACGCAAATTCCATTACGGGCAACATAGTTGTACGACAACCTCTTATCCATGCCTTCACTTACCAGAGCCATGGCAGACCGCAGGTGGAAGTGCGTCTCAGCCAGTCGCTACGCCGTGCAAGTCTCGCTTTGCATGTTTGCAGTCTACCTTTCCAGCCTCATCACGCAGACGTCTACTCCCACAGTCATGATATGGGGTAGCGCGCCATACATCGGCCTTGTTGTCGCTTTCGGAACACGATTTGGCCCAGCCGATATGACTGCGTCCCAAACATACTGCGTCATCACTACAGTCATACTCTTGTACCTCGACAAAGCCGCGACCGCTATCGGCAAGACTGCCGAACCAAACGTTGAAGAGACTGGACTTCAGCACCGCGCCGTACACTTTGCGCTTGCCTTCTTTGTCCTTTCGGAGCTGGAATACCACCGACAATACTAGGCTACCAAAAGCTTCAAGAAATCGGATAAATCCTCGTGGCGTTCTTGGATCACTGACTCCGATCGTACGTTTAACGTCTCGAGACATCAAAGTGTATACTGGCATCTGGGATCTGTCAACGAAGGAAACAACAAGGAGTCTGAAGAATCATTCGCATCAACGGTGTGCTACATCCTACGTGTGCTCCTCTTCGACAACCTACCCTTTCACTTAGTCGGCGGATGCTTTAATTACGCGATCAACAGCACGGTGAATCCGACTCCTGCGAATGGTCGCCTGGCCATGCAAATGATCGGAAACTTCAATGTCTTCTTCAATACAAAGACTATATGCGGCGTCTACTTGAACCTCTGGGTACTGTCCAGGGTCGTACGACAAGCCAACTTCATTACCGTTTGGGGCATCTTCCGAGTGTCATCTGGTGCTCTTGATTGGTGGAACAGTAAAGGTGGAATCTCTCATCACGAGCATTATGAGAAGTCGCAGGGTGGTCAAGGACCATAATACATCTTCGTAGAGCATTTGAGATAGCGTAGTAGTAATGCAGATTCATTTGAGTCTAATTGCCACGTCTTTTACTCCAGCAACATCTTCATAACATCAGCAGGCGTCCTCTTCGGCGCTGCAATCTCCAGCACCTCCTTGCTCGTCGTTTCCGCCTTCGCCTCGCCATTCCATGCCGATTGCGGAGCACGCTTGATAGAACCTATCACGTTCTTTGCCTGGTTTGACGCAGCGACCATGTCGTCTACGAAAGACAGATCCTTGAACTTAACGTCCTCAACTTTGGCACCGATGTGCTTCTCGACCATCGCTACAACTTCATCGCCTGTGATGTCCTCCGGGCCGTTGAGGACATACCTGCGCTTGTTGTGCGCAGAGGTGTCTTCCTGAAGCAGGACATGCGCAGCAAAGACACCGACGTCATGAGGATCAATAACGCCAACCGGTCCATCAGCGCTCGCCATCGTGCGCAATGTGTGTTGTTTTCCGCCGTTGCGAACGGCTTTGATCAGCTCAGCAGCGGGCATAAGCCAGAAAGTCGTGAACACATTGGGCTGCAGTGATGTCCAGTGCATACTTTCGTAGGCTGGCGAGTCAAGCATTTGCTCGATGGCCCAATGCGTACGTGGGTAGTAGGCAGGGCAGTCTGGCTTCACATTCGCGGCTGTGGTGGAGATGCGCACAACGTACTTGACGCCAGCGTCACGGGCTGCAAGGTGGAATGTCGATTCTTCGGCGAATTGGTTAGGCTCGTTGTGTGAAGCTATGAATGCGCGGGCGACATTGCGTTCCCGTAGCCACTCCGCGGTGATCTCGACCCAGGTGTATTCGATAATTTCGACATGGGGAAATTTGGCGAGTGCCTTTGCCGAGGAGCTGTTTGCAGATCGTGTAATGGCGAGGATGCGATAGTCGGAGAATGTCTTGCTAGATTTGATGAGGTTCGAGAGGGTCTCAACAACACTGCGGCCAGTGTTGCCTGTGGCGCCGACGACTAGGAATGAAGAAGCCATGATCAGGAAGGTGAAAATAAAGATGATTGAGTTTGAGGGGTTGGTTTCAGTGCAGGCTGATGGTGCATGTCAATTGATCGAGGTACCTACCTTTTGTACAAAGTTGCGGAGTGTCGACGACTCCGGAATGTCACTAGTTGCGGAGTGTAACCAGCTGTTGAGCGCTGCGCGTTACATCACGCACCCGGATTTTGTCCGAAGTCTGACCAATCAGCTGGGCGCGGAGTGGAAACCGTTAGTATGATGTGGCGGGCGCTAGAAGAAGATGCGTACCTCGCGCGACGACCATCCAACACTGAAAAAAAGAAAACGCGGAAGCGGAACAAGCAGAACAGCAGCAATTGCGGGTTTGTTAGTTATTGAATGTTGGAACAAGCAGAAACCAAAATCGCATTAGTACTACTCCACGAGGAGATCAACGACTGCGTATAACGTCCAACCTCCCAATGACACTGCGCCATCTGATGCGCACTTATATAACATTACAAAAATACAAAGACCAGCTCAGTACCCATAGGCCACCGTCTGTCCATGCACGTGGAAAGCGGTTGCTGCGCTGAACGACTTGATGTCTCCACGGAACCTTCCACCTACTCTGCCTCTTCCTCATCGCTATAGTTCTCATCAACCACAATCTGACGAGTAGCATGGGTCTCTTCAACAATGGTAGTCTGCTCGACTGCAGTATGTTCGACGAGACGACCTTGGGTAGTCTCGGCTGCGGACTCTTCGAGCGCGGCTGAGACCATCTGCTGTTCGGCGTCGTCATAGTCTTCCTCCCCCATCTCTTCGTCTTGCTCAGCATCGTCGTCTTCAAATATCACCGATGAAGATTCATCACCATCGTTATCCTCGTAGGCGCCGGCCAGGACTAGGAGATCCTCTTCTTCCTCGTCAAGCGCGGGCTGCTCAGCATATGGGGGAAACACCCTGGTCTTCGACTTCTTAGCAGGCCGCTCTTGGTCTCCAGAGTCTTCCGAACCATGGCGCTTGCGAACCAGAGGGCTACCGAACGCATCTTCACTTTCCGATTCCTCCACGGCAGCCTGTGACTTCTTCTTGCTCAACGGCTTCTTCTTGGCTGGCTTCTTAGGCTTACCACCCTCGTCGTCGCCATCGTTGCCGTCGTGGGTGTTGTCGTACTCCTTTAGTAGAGCCTTGTCCGGCTTCCCAAAGGCGGCCACCAAGCGCCCCGACGCTTCGAGTGCCTTGGCTTCAGGTGAAGGGTCGCCGCGCCATCTTACATTCGGTGGGTCTTCGCCACGATCGTAGCATGGTTTGTACGATGTGTACTGGTAGCGAGTGCTCTCTACTGTCCGACCATCAGAGAGTTTCCCGAAAGGAGTGGCTTCCCTGAAGTCCTTGCCCTTGAAGCGATCGTTGTGAAGCTCAGTCAACTCCCAAATGGATGCGTCGGGATTGTCCCGCATTAGGGAAGCCAGATACTCTCGCTCGATTTCCGACCATGGTGGATCAATGGTTACGCGATCAATACCCTGGTAACGGCGGTCGTTAAGAGCCTTGACGGTTTGCTTGTCGTTCCAGTCTTTTGGTACTTTGTTATAGCAGTAGATGACCGGCTCTCTCTTGTGGGATGTAGGTTCGTTCTTGTCCTTCAACCGCATGTCCATGAGCGGGATGGCAAGTAAGTCTTCTTGGTTCTTATCCTGAGGGAGTTGATCAACGTTGTCCGGCTCAACCTGGAAATTGTGCTTGGTGTCGCGGGAACCGCGCTTGTACCGGAAGCCACGATTCTCCCACATGGGAGGCTCTGTCTGACCCATGCTCTCGCGGGCAGAAGGCTGCTTGGGACTGGGCCGAGGATCACCTGACACAGGCTTTGCACCCCAGAACTTGCTCCATTGGTCCGTCGGAGGAATGACAATACTATGGGTGTAAGAATCGAAGCCTTCTCCGACGGGCGGCTTTTTTGGCTTGGCCTTTGGCTCCGTGGCGGCGGGTTCCTTGGGTGCTGCGGTCTTCCTGGGCTTCTTCGGGGTAGCGGCTTTTGCGCCCTTCCTGGGTTTCGGGGTAGGAGCGGCCTCTTCTGATTCTGACTCGTCCTCATCTGGAGGTCCTCCTTCCTGCTCTTCGACGGGCGCGGCAGCATCAGAGGCACTGGATTCGTCGTTCGCACTCGCAGACGCCGCTTCAAAACTAACAGCCTTCTTCGCTTTCCTCGGTGTTTTGGGAGTCACACTCTGCCCGAGCTTCGAGCCGGCGGGCTGCTTTGACATTTCGGGATGAGGCAGTTGCGTATTGGTGTGTTGGATCGAGCCAGGTGGTGGAGTAGTTGTATCGAAAGCACAGATAGGTTCCAAGAGCAATTGGATGGGGTCGCGTGTAGAGTTGTTGAGTCGGGCTGCAGAGGTGGGAGCGAAAACCTTGCTTTGCGGGGTGGGAATGGTGCACTGGTAGAGAGTTGACGCGCGTCTGGATTGGGAAGACATAATTGCAGTGGGAGACGGAGCGCAATAAGTAGGAGGACGGGGCGCGGCCATTGTAAGGCTACGCGTGAAAGATCGTTCTGGGGCGTGAGGAGGGCGCTTTGACATCTAGATCGCACAGTGTAGAAATACGTCTTGCGCGTTTGGCGTCCTTTGAAAGTGAACGAAAGTTGTGCGCGGATCAACAAAGCCAGCAACAGTGTAAAGCAAGCCCACCAGACAATGTCCCAGGCGGACAAAGCTGAAAGGTACAACCATATTCTCCTCGCGCACGCTCAACTAGGTCCTTCTATCGACGTCTTTCGAATGATATGGTCATCTCGGTCGCTTCTCTTCACTATGCGGATAGTGTCGAAGTAATTTGCGCGCAAGAAACCTTCTCATCCAAGTACATGTGACAGACCTGAGAGCGCCTGACACACAATGCCACATAGTGACGTGACCATGTGAAAGCTCATCGCTTGGCGGTGCCTGCGATACCGCATTGCTAAGGCAACGCGCGCGAATGATCCCGCTCCGCTGTTGCACGAGGTGAATGCTGCGCACATCTCCCGCGACCTGGGGCTTCCGACATACCACAACCAGTCGGTTCGGTTTCTCGTTAAGAGGATTGAAACCGGGTAGCAGAGTCATTGTGTGGATCAACGAAATATATCGCAAAGACTTGACCGGTGAATCCCGTGATCTCGGTTTCCGCTTCCTCGCGCAAGCAACTATCCTCGAGCTTCACCTACGTCTCGCAGCGAAGCATTGAAGCGCGTTGTCATACCTTTAGCTCAAGCTCGGCGTATGAATGAAGAGTTGGTAAGGCACGCAATGCCCGTACGATAACGGAAGTGTATATGCTGCTGCCGTGCAGGACATGAGGTCGGGGGATGGCAGCTTGGAAAAAGGTGAAAGTGTGAAAATGGAGGAACTTTGCATAACCACAGACTTTTGATCGTCTATTTCGTAGCAGCGCACGCGATTGAATGGCTTGGTCTAAATGAGAAAGCTGTAGTCGGCAAATCTGGCGACAGAGACAGCTGTGGACAGG